CTTCATCTTACAGATGCAGACTCATCAAAGGGGAGGTTTGCGTGCTTGCGTGAGTGTGTGTGTGCGTGTATGTCTGTGTGTGCGTGTATGTCTGTGTGTGCACCAGAGCTATGCAGCTATGATTTTGGAGGTGTTCCTTAAGAGCCCCAGCAAGTGAGAATCGAAGGGGAGGCGGCAAGATTTGTTTAGTCTTTGGCAATCGTTACTGAGATTCAAATTCCCTATGCTAGAAACAAATCATCTAGCGGCACTGATGACAAGGGTCTTAGGCAGAAGGCCTTACCCCACCCTATTGCGTAAGAGCTGGCATTTCCTTTGGAAATGGTGACTCAGGTTTGTGCTGCAGTGAAGCCTGGGCTTTTGCCGACACGACCAGCCACAGCGCCACCTGCTGGCCCAGCAGCCCTTAGCGCCGCAGACCGCAGGCTAAAAGCCGCCGTTTTCCTCTTGTCTCTTTCCTATTTCTTTTCTCTTGCTGATCCCCGCTGGAAATCCTCACTTCTCCAGAACCACAGCGGATAGGGTGTGTGTGTGTGTGTGTGTGTGTGTGTGTGTGTGTGTGTGTGTGTGTGTGTGTGTGTGTGTGTACGTGTGCAAATCTGTCAGAGAGCTAGTTCCACAAATATCTCATCCTATTCTTCTCTGGATTTAAATTAGGACTAATGAAATCTAAGCCTTGACTGATTAGCCCACAGCAGATAAGCAGAGTCATCTCTGTCTCAGAGGGCCTGGGTAGCTCTCTTCTCTGGGGGGAGGGTTGCGGAGAATGTGTCTGGAAGCCGCTTGCACAAGCAGGCATTGAAGACTCTTTCTTAGACCCAGGGCATTTGTGGGTGCTGGAGGGAAGGTAGGGCTGATGGAGATTTTAGGGTAGGCACAGCCACTATGCACATTTGTAGCTGCAGGGCCTCAGTGTTCTTTTCTTTTCTTTTTTACTTTATTATTTTGTTTCTGTAACAAACTGCGTGGGAAAACGAGGCCGGAGAGATTCTCCCTGGACCATGGTTTCAGGGGTTCATCTCCACTTGTCTCTATGGCTTGTGGCTAAGCAAAGCTGCTCACCCCACGGCAGCCGGGAAGTGGACAGAGGAGAGAAGGGAGGGGCAGGAACAAGACATTTTTCAAGTTTGCTCCTCATGACCCATTTTCTCCCCTCCAGACCCCACCTCCTAACAGCCCGTTGTAAACAGAGACTGCTCATTCGCTTTCTGGCTGCCCCGAACTGAACAACCACACAGAAACTGACCAATAGCTTAGGTGTATTCCTAACTAACTCTTACATCTTAAATTAACCCATTTCTATTAATCTGTGTATCACCACAAAGTTGTGGCTTCCCAGTAAGAGTCTGGATCCTTATCCTTTAGCAGCTACACGGTGTCTCTCTGTCTCCACCTACTCTCTCTATATCTCTTCCAGCCTGGCTATATTCTGCCCTGCCATATTAAAAGCTTCTGCACCCCGATAAACCTCTCTGCTTACACAATAATCCAAATCAAACTGAATTTTTAAAAAGCCCAGGTTTAATGGATACCAATGTTCCTGGATGGCTTTCCAGCCCCCCAGAGAGGAGCTGGAGAAAAAAGACTGGAAAATCATGTGTTTGTTCTCTGGGGAGCAGTTTAGATACCCTGTGGGTGTGGTCTTGAGCATCTCTGTGGAGGGTCCATCATTTGGTGGACCTTCTCAGAGGTGCAGTCTAGACTGAGGGAGCTTGGGACTGAACTTCCACCCAAACATTCCAGATTCTTTCGGTATATGGATGCCAGGGACTTGGGTGAGGCTTTCCCCAAACACCATAGACCAAAGCAGCTTCTTTATTAAGCAATGGTAATAAAATATATTCAAGCATACAGGGGGATTCCCACATCAGCCCATTCAGTGTGAACTCCCATGCTTTAACCCCTCAATCTCAGTGTTTTGGTGATCCAATCACCTCTCAGTTGCTACCAGTGATGGAAGTGTGTCCAGCTGTTTTCCTCAAATGGTAGAACTGAATTCTAAGACTTCACTGATGACAATTTGCATCCAGGTCTAGGCGGCATGACTCAATTTACCAGTCTGTCTGCCCACTGGGAAGTTAAACAAGGGTCACTGGTCACTGGCACCATCTACTCTAAACAGCCCCTCTACACGGGGCCACTGGGGTTTGAGGGAAGGAGGGCAGAACCCTGCTGCAGTTGCATGTCTAAAGTGCAGCACGCTAAAAAACTTGCAGGGCCGGGATGGGGGTGGGGCTTCCCTTGCCCCACCAGCTGGAGCAAGGATTGATTCTGCATCCAGTTAATTGTCTGCAGCACTGTACATAGGTCTCCCTCCCTACCCGATCCACCTCACGGCCAGGTCATCCTCTAGACTCCTAGGCAGAGCCAAGCTGTGGCAGTGTGCCAGTGCAGGGACTGGGTCCCACTGGTGAAGGTAGACATCTCTAGGGAAACATATAGAATGCCAGATCACCAGCTGTGTTCTTACCTGCCAACTACCACTCATTTCCTGCTGCTGGGGTCCAGCCCCCAGCCTGAGTCCTTGGGAAAATTGACTATATGGGGATGCTGAAGCATCAGTGGGCTCTCCACCTTCTCTTGTGACCCAAGTCATTAAATGGTCCAGTTTAAGTGGGCAAAGGATATGGTGAGATGCCTCAGTCAGTGAGGTGCATGTGCACAATGACCTGAGTTCAATCCCCAGCACCCACGTAAAAAAATGTTTAGCAGCACTGTGCCTGTGATCTGGGGAGGCAGAGACAGGAAGATTCCCCAGAGGTCACTAGCCTGCTAGCCTGGCCTCCTTGGTGAACTCCTAAGTCGAGGGAGAAACCCTGTCTCAAGAATAAGATGGGGAGTGACTGAAGAAGGCACCTGGTGCCCACCTCCATACATGTGTGTGTGCGCGCGCGTACACCCTCCCCACAGAGACACCCCCCACAGACATACTCCCCAGACACCCCCACACACAGACACACACAGACACCCCCACACACAGACACACATACAGACATACCTCCCAGACAACCCCAAGCCCCCCCCCACAGAGACACCCCCCACACAGACATACCCCCAGACACCCATACACACACACACGGACAGACACACACACGACACCACACACATACAGAAACAAGGCACTAAGTAAAAGTAGGATATCTTCGGGCCACATTTTACAAGCACAGGAAAACAGACTCTGAGACTGGCTGAGCTCAGTGTGTTAGGAGTTGTTGTTATTCTCTGGACGCCATAGGACAGCAGCGGTTTACATAGCCCTTTCATGGCCTTAGGTGTTAGAAGTCATCTGGAGATGACATAAAGTCAATGGCAGCTGAGAGGATCTGAAAAGATACCCAAGATTCTCGTTCTGGGAGCCGGGATCCAGAGCAGTGCCCATTCAGAGGCCAGCAGCAGGCCGCCTGCTCATAACGGGGACAGTGTTGACTACAAGGGCATACACAGAGTTTAGGGCAGTCTAGAGCAGCTTGGTTTAGGGGGTACGCTGGTGCAGAGACTAAGAAGCGACTCTTGGTTTAGGGGATCCGCTGGTGCAGAGACTATCTAAGAAGCGACTCTTGGTTTAGGGGATACGCTGGTGCAGAGACTAAGAAGCGACTCTTGGTTTAGGGGATCCGCTGGTGCAGAGACTATCTAAGAAGCGACTCTAGCCGGGCTGGGCATTTCTTTGTGTCCATAAAGGTGAGACAGAGAAGGGCAGGGGCCTGCGCACGGAGAGGACAGGCTGGAGGGAAGCAGTTAAAACACACAAAGCTGCATTCCTTCTTCCTCTCAGGCAGCACGACACTGCTTCCCCTCTGCAGACATCAGAACTCCAGGTCTGTGCTCTGTCTCCAGGACACACATGTGGTCTGCAGGAGCTCAGCATTAGCTGAGAGGAATGCACATTGCTTTCTCCAGTGTCTCCGGCTCAGACAGCTCTAAGTACTAGTTTCCCAGGGGCTCCAGGTTGCATGTAGTCTATTGGGGAAACCTGCGTCTGCCCAATAGCATGGGTTTATCCCCCAGTTTCCATCCATGTACACGTGTGTCATCTAGCTATACCCGACACATACATAGATAGTGTGTTCTCTCCGGAGAAGCCCAACCGAAGCCCGTGTCTAAGTTCCCAGTTAACTTTCGGAGCTGGCTGCGGATGGCTGCAAATCTGTCCCCCTATGACATTCCTCAGGTTGCTCTACTGGCTGCAGAAACACCCTTTTTTGCTGCTATTTGAGGGATGCACTTGAGGCCCCTTTTCCACCATTTCCTGGTACACGACTCCATCTACTCATTCCTGTGCCTCCCATTCCACTCCCTGTCGCAGCAGAAGGTCCACAGCCTGGACAGTTCCAACCCCACAGCCTGGACAGTTCCATCCCTGCCAACAGCCCCGCGATGCCGGAGAAGGCCAGCTGGTGTCTTTTTCTTAAGGAAAAGAAGGCAGGAACATTTGGCAACTGGACAATATTACACACTCAGAAGGCTGTGGTCCAGCAGCAGCTCACAGGGTTAGCCCTGGCACAGTGACATGGTGGGGCATGGGAGAGGGTGTGGAGGTTTAAGACAGACATGTGATCCAGACTGAGCAGCGGGTGAGGGAAGGGTTGTAACAGCTACAGAGTTGGTACAGAGCATGTTCACAATCACGGTTTTGTCTTTTTTCAATTCCTGGCAGTGCCAGCATTGAACTCAGAGCCTCGCACATGCTAGGCAAGCATTCCACTGTATTTTATATTTAATGCCTTATATGTTCATTCACATTCTGAGAAGAGGCGCTGAGCTCTTAAGTGAGTATGGATGCAGCCGTAGAGTTAAGAGCATCTACAAGGCTTAGAGCAAATTTCTGGGTCCAATTTCTACACAGCCTATGTAATCTTACACCTTACAATCCTTGTCCTGTGTGAAATCCAGTTACAGCAGTTGGTACCTAATGCATCATATTGGTATTTGATTGAAGCGACATAGTTTTTTTCCTACAAAGGAACAGGTCTGAAATTCAGTGTAAACTGATCAATGAATTACGATTATTCTGAAATTTTATTTTGGAGTCCTGTGTCACAAAATGACATGTGTAATGTTTACAATGGGTATGAGAAATTGAGATGTTTTATTTCTACTATTGAGAATAAAACTATAGATAATGTTCCAAACCAGAATCAAAAAAAGCAGAGCAAACTTTTCTGTATATAAACTGTACATAAAACAAGGCACTATACATTTCTGGGGGGTATTAAGGTATAAAGGTTGGTTCGCATAGATTCTTCAGAGTCCACACCAGGAAGTAAGTCTTTGTTCACTTTAGCACCGGAAGCAAAACTCAGCACACACCAGACCTAAGGCTGAAGGAGGCACTCCTGGGGATGGGGGATGGGGGGTGGGGGGACGATGGGACAGACAACACACCTAATGACAGACTGCTGGCAGGCCTAACTCAACAGAAGCCACTCTGTCTACCTTGTAATATTGTTTTTACACCAAAGGAAAAGAATCGAAAGTGAATGAATACATATTGCTTTGTTAAATACATATTTGATTTATACGGTGTTTATATAAATATATATATATTTAGAATCCACAAACTATCAAAATAACACTTTATAAAGAGAATTGCTTTATAAAAGGTAATGCCGAGCTGAAGCAGGAGGGTAGGGCCGCTGAGGCAGAACTCGGCTGAGTGAATGGAAGAGATGGGTTTCTCAGTTTACCTGAACCATGGAAAAGAATGATCCCAAGAGTCCTCCTACATATTTACAAAATGCTCAACTCCTGGATAAGCTGTAGCGTTAATAAGGTCAGGTTTGGAAAAACTCTGATTCGAAAATACTTTGCTCTTTGACAGAAAAAAAATACCAGTCCAAAAATATATCCATTTTCTGGCCTAGTGGCATCAGAAGCAGCCTCCTGGTGACAGCTGTCATTTCGCCCTCAGAACAGGCCCTTCGCTTTCTTTACGTTCACTTGCTTCCAGGTGGGCAGTGCGTTGAATTCATCTCTGGTCATGTCTAGTGCAAACTGGAGGAAATGCAAGAGATGCCCAGTAAGTGGCCGAGTGACAAGATGCTCACACCAGTGTGACATCGCCATCCCACCCAAGGGACCACTCACCTCGAAGTCTTCATCTGTGAGGTAAATCTCAAGCTTTAGAGGGTCTACTCCCTCTGGGAGTGGCCGGGCAAGCAGATCCGCCAGTGGGTAGATGGTTTTACAGAGCTTGGCTAAGACATCTTCCACCAGGGTGATCTGATTGGAAACTTCAGTATCCTGGAGAGACAGCAGAGAACAGTTGAGCGGACACGAGTGATCTGTGCAGTTTGCAGACCCCCAGCTCTGTCCCAGAGTGCACAGCCCGGTCAGGAGCATGGTGTCACTGCACTGTGGAGTGGGGGCTCTGAGTAACCAGGGATTACCTCCTGACCTTCAGAGCTTTTCCTCCCCTGCCAAGTATCAAATCAACCCTGTGTTTGAACTGCCAATGAATGAATGAGTGCATGCCGATGGGACTCGTCTTACCTATGAGAACAGTGGAGAAAGATTATTGGATCTGAAATCAAAACATGAGATGCTTCCACATAGGGAAATTTGTTTGAGCATATTTTAAAATAATTAAGCTAAGAAGAAATCATGCCCTCTCCCCTTTCCTCCAGGCTTCATTGAATCCACACTAAGGCAGGAAGAAAGTAAAGGTGTAGCTCAGTGGTAGAGCACTGCCTGGAACACATAAGGCTCTGGGTGACACACACACAAACACATACACTCAATCGTGTGCATGCACACTCACACATGTACACACGTGTGCATGCGCACACACACAGGGATGGGTATTCTGAGAAAATAATCTTCAGCTCTCATAGATCAAATCTACCTGGCTAATGCCACGTTACATGGCCAAGACTGTGCATGTACGAGGCTCTGGGTTCCATTTCTAGCACTGCAGAAAGGTCAGGTGGGCAGATACACTTTGCATTACAAAGCTCTCTGTTGCTATGCAACAGATTTTTAAAAATTTGTTTGTGTATTTAAAATTACTTCTAAAATATATTCGGGTCTACCTAAACTTATACTTGTTTACATACCTGCATGTATACATGATAGACTAGGATCTGCAGATAAGGGAGAATATGTGTTTGTTGTTTTGAGTTTGGGTTAAGCTGATTAATAGGGAATAGTATTCACTGTGTGTATGTACCACATCTTCACCATCTAGTCACCTGTTGGTGGACATCGTGGCTGGCTCCATTTCCTAGCTACTGGGAATAGAGCAGCAATAAACATGGCTGCACAGGTGTCTCTGTGGTGGGAGATAGAGATCTTTGGGTAGACGCCCAAGAGTGGCAGAGTTGGGTCATATAGTATTTTTTTTATATTTTTTATTTTTTTGAGGAACTGATTTTCATAATGTTATATTAATCTTGACTCAACTCACAGGGAATAAGAGCCCCTTTTCTTCTATATCCTTGCTAACATCTGTGGTCAAATTTCCCTTCCTTCCTTCCTTCCTTCCCTTTTCCTTCCTTCCAAGAAACTAAATAAAGGTTTTATTTATTCACTTAATTTAAAACTGGTTTTAGGCTTTTGGACTTTCATATAATATATTTTGATCATATCCTTTCTTGATGGGGGAGGTGGCATCTTACAGTATATTCAGTTTGCATCTCTCAGACTAGGGATGCTGGACACCTTAAAATAGTTATTGTTGGTGTGAGTGAGTTCCAGGACAGCCAGGGCTGTTATACAGAGAAATCCTGTCTTGGGAAAAAAAAAACTGGTCATCTTTTGAGAGCTGTCTGTTCACTCCAGTAGCCCCGTTTACTGATTGGTAGTTTTGTTTCTTTGATATTTAATTTTCAAAGTTCTTTGTAAATTCTGGATATTGTCTGTTATCCCTATACCCCAGAAAAGCAGCTTTCTCTTTAGATTGAAAAAATTAAAATGGAAAATTCCTACCTCCTACTAAAACCAAAAACAATCCTTGGAATCTCCCTACGCCCCCATCCCTCACCCCCCACCCTCCACCCCCCACCCCCGGCAAGGTTTCTCTGTGTAGCCCTGGCTGTCCTGGAACTCACTCTGTATCCCAGGCTGGCCTAAACTCACAGAGATCCGCCTGCCTCTGCCTCCCGAGTGTTGGGATTAAAGGTGTGCACCATCACTGCCTGGCTAATCCCTGGAATTTCTATTGCTAGCAAAGTTAACTCTTAAATTAAAAAATTCTTCACAGCCACACTAAGCCTCTGAATGGGGAACAAATGCAGGTTTGGCAGGCAAAGAGATGAGAACTGTGTCCTGTAACGCTGCGTGGATCTGTAGTTGTCTGGACACCATGGAGGAGCACAATGTACTCTCCCCCTTAGCTGCCTGAGCACATTCCTGTGCTGCAGGCCGTCTCTTCTACAGGAGCGCAACACCAGAGAACCTGTAAGCCTTCCACACACAGTGAGAAGGAGTAGGCCTGGTGCTCAGAGAATGAAGAACAGCAGCTTGTATTTGTAGTCTACTTGTATTTAAAAATCTTGAAGTTATGTGTGGAAAATGACCAGATTACCTCAATGATTTCCCATTAGGCTTTTCCCCTAAAGCAAATCTATGCAGCATAGGTAGTGCATGGCAACAGGAAAAAGTGCATCCCCATTTTATTTGTAGGACCTTGGCATACAGTGCAGGCTAGCCCAGAGCTCACTGTACAGTGCAGGCTAGCCCAGAGCAAGTCTGTTCCCTAGTTCAGAGTGCAGTCTGCTGCTTCTCTGGTGGGGCCGCCCAGTGCAGAGGCCAGCGGAGGCCTGGGCTGGGGAGTGGGGGTAGGAGCTCACCATTTCTGTGATCTCGGCGATGTCCTCTCTGTGTTCCCAGCTGGGGAACATGTTGGTGAATGTCAGGGGCTCCAGCCCAGCATGGATAAGGTAAGACTTGGGGGGTGGCCTTTTGAGATTCTTTCCTGTTGGGGTGCAGAAGGCACATGTCAGTGGACCCAATGAGCCTGGCCTCCCTGCTTTTCCTCGGGTTTGGCCCATTTTCCTTCAAAACTCTTGACTTTCACATTTAAAATGTGGATTAGGTCACTCTAACAATGTTTTTAGGTTTATCTCTTTAAGACAGATGTGACATTAACCTGACCACCACCCCCCACTTCCTGAACCTGACCAAATGTTTCTGAACCCCTAGGGATGATGTTCTCCTGGGAACCCCCACCAGGCAGGTCTGCTTCCTTTCATTTGCCTGTGAAGGGTTTCCCTGACAGCCAATGACAGCATCTTCCAGGTGCTCGTGAGCACTTGCTGGTACTTGAACGGCTGTTCACAGAGAGTTTTCTGTGGAAAGAATTGACTGTACACACTCGGGTGTATTAAGCATCAACATGAAGACAAAACTGGTGTCTACTTTACATAAAAGGTTCCAGAAAGGAGCCAGGGATTCACTACAGAATCTTAGTTTAATTTTTATTGCCGAATACAACACCAAAATACTAAAAGAAAGGCAGGCACTGGTTCTTAACCAGTTTGAGCACATTTCTGTTCTCTCATGTAGGCGCTGCCTGAAGAGAAAGGTGAGCTGTGGAGGTCACTCAGCTGCTCACCCCCACATACAGAGAGGTGTCAGTGCAGGCGGCTTCACAGTACACCTGCGGGCAAGCTCATCATATGGACTCTCCTTTGTTCTGGCGGCAGAGAGTGTATTGACCTGAATATTGACAAGCCGCTAGCAGTTAAAGGGGAGGGCTGGAGCCTTTTCAACGCTGGGGCATCTCAGAAGGGACATGGGTGGCCTGTGATGCCTCTCCACCTCCTCCCTCCCTTTCGCTCTCACCTCGGCAATACTGCAGGACCGTCTCCATGGCGCTCTTGCGGTCTGAGGCCCAGCGAATGCGGGCAGAGCCGGTTATCTTGTTCTCGGCGGGCCACCAGCCTTGCCAGAGGTACACCTCGTGGTGATTGTCAACAAGAAAGAGTGCTGCGAGGTAAGGGCAGAACCAGGCCATGAGGTGCTGCTCTATCAGCTGCCCCCAAAGTTCCGAGCTCCTGCACACTCTGTCCTCCTGGGTTAAACTATGAGGACCCTAGCAGGACAAGGAGGTACCCCGAGAAAGGTCCCTTCCCAGGTCAACCACAGTTTCTGGTAGCCCTTGCAGATGCCACTAGGGCTCCGCTGTTGGCCACTTCTGGTCTCTAATGAGTTCACATCTGGCTTGCCCTCAACTCCTATGAGCAGTCATAGCAGGAAGCGGATTTTAGACAGAATCGCCTGTCTCTTCCTCCTTGCCTTCAAGCCTTCACCTGACTTCTCTATATGACAGGTGCTCTTCACTCGACAGCTCATGGGCACGAGGTCCCTCCTGACACACATTTTGGGATTGCTTTAAAAGCCCATGGGTTTTGATGATCCATCCAGAGCCCAGGAAGGCAAGGGCAGGGAGTAGCCTTCTCTCTTAGATATTCGTGGCCACTGCCCACAGTGTGACATATGCACCTGCCAAGTTCCCAACGGTGGTAGGGCAACTACTGTTGCAGCTCCAGGCTGAGGACAAACTATGAGCAAGGTGCTTGATTGGCAGGAAGTGGGAGGGTCTACAGAGTGCATTTCCTCCGTATAGGTTAGGTCATTAGGGCATGACTTGGTGGGAACACTACTGGTCTTGAAATTGGGAGATTTAGTCTGCAGTCTTAGTTCAGCGGAGAGCTTTCCTATCTCCTTTTCCTTGGCCACTTGCTTTCCTAGGCTTCTTGGCAGTTGGAGTGGCTGCATGACATCTTCTGGCCAATGGGATAAAGCAGAAAAGTCTATTGGAGCCGGAGGGACATAACAAACTGCGCCTTTCCCGTTTCCCAAACTTTAAATCCAAACATGAAAGCTGGAGAAAGGGCCGCTCGCAAGGGAGTATGAAGAGAAAGTTGGAGAGGAAGGCTGGGAGAACGGCAGGGGTGCCATGTGGTACTGTCATCGGCCTCTCTGGACGTAGGAAGCAACTGAGTTCAGTTCCTGATACAATGCTACGTGGGTGGATAAAAGGAAATGTCCTAAGCAAGTACGCTAGCAGTGTACTTGGCAGATAGGACTGCTCAAAAAGAAAGGGAAAGAAAGGCTTTCCAGGAGGGCGCCACGCAACCCAACCTCGCCCCCTGCAGGCCTCACCTGGTTGTGGCGCGCTGTACAGATCCTCTTGCAGGAAAGGCATGGAGCTGACGGCAGAGGGCGCCCGCGCAGGGTACACAAACTCTGTCGCCGAGAAGTCTCCAGAGGAGCTGCTGAGGATGAACAGTCGGGGTGCGAAGTTAAAACTTCCAGGATCTTCCAAAGAAAAGATAACAAAGATAAGGACACCATATGCACCAACTTCCGGATGGACTGAACGTAAAATATGAAACAACTCAAAGACCTGGTGGAAAATAAGCCAGATTTGGTTTATATCCACCTTGTATGGAAAAGTCTGTTTTTTTTTTGTGTGTGTTTGTTTTTTGCAACATTGGGCATCAGAGGCAAGCTTCCAGCATGCTAGGCAAGCATTCTACCGATCAACAGTAGCTGTGTGTGTGTGTGTGTGTGTGTATGTAAAACACAGGAGACACACACAGAGACGGACACACACACATGTGTACGTGGACACATGAAAGGTCACCCCAACACTCCTAGCTATCAAATTAAACAGAAACAATATCTTCTCCAGTTTATCTGGTCCACAGGAGAAGATACTGTGCTCAGTTTATGAGTGATGGGAAATACTTCCTTTTGTTATTTTCTGTTTAGAAAAAAAGGTTGATACCTCAAGACCCAGCAATACCACTTTTGGATATATACCCAAAGGATGTTCAACCATAACACAAGGACATGTACTCAGCTGTGTTCATAGTAGCATAATTTATAATAGCCAGAACCTGGAAACAGCCTAAATGCCCCTTGACCGAAGAATGGATACACAATGGAGTACTACACAGCAGAAAAAAATGACATCTTGAAATTTGTGGGCAAATGGATCTATAAAACATCATATAGAGTGAGGTAACCCAGACCCAGAAAGACAAATATCATATGTACTCACTCATAAGTGTCTTTTAGACATAAAGCAAAGAAAAACCTACCTACAATTCACAATCCCAGAGAGCCTAGACAACAAAGATGACCCAAAGAGAGACATACCCATCTAATCTACATGGGAAGTAGAAAAAGACACGATCTCCTGGGAGCATGGGGACTATGGGAGAGAGCTGAAGGGGTGAGGAGAGAAAGGGAGCGGAGTGGAGAAAAATATATGGCTCAATAAAAACAATTAAAAAAAAGGTTGGACTAATGTCTTGGAGGACACTGGTTGATATAGAAGTCACTTGTCTAGGAATTTACTTAATTATGGATAAACATAAACAATTATTTTTACGGGTATGCCAATTATACCACACTATTGTATTTTTTTTTATTTTTTTAATTATTTTTTTTTGTTTTTTCGAGACAGGGTTTCGCTGTGGCTTTGGAGCCTGTCCTGGAACTAGCTCTGTAGACCAGGCTGGTCTCGAACTCACAGAGATCCCCTTCGCTTGCACTGATACACAATGCCAGCTGCTCTGCCCTCTAGCGCTCCAGGTCTCCCTATTTACTGCCTTCTCCCCTCTTGATCCCCGTGACATCCCACTGATCCAGTCCTGCACCTTGTATTTCTGTCTCTGCCTACTGCCTTGTAAATGACAAATGTTTATGGATTAGTTCCTAGCTCAAATCCCTAGATCGTGTCTACATTGTACACACATGTTCTTCAGTCCTCTGCAAGGGTTATGCCCCTTCTCATAGGGATCTCTGAATCCTAAAAGGCTGAGATCAACTGAGCGAAGGACATGGGTTCCACAACTCTTCCTCTTCCTGCTTCCTGTTGGTAAACCAAGGTCATGCTAGTCAATGGTGGCCTCTCCTGTCCACCCTTGAGTTTCAAGTTCCAAGTTCACAAGCTGCTGGTAACCATCACATGCTCATGTCCCAGAACACATCTCCCAGTAGGCACCTGGTCTCAGCCATTGCCCCCGAAGCGTCCCCTTCCAGCCACAAGTGCTGAGAACGCACTGCACTGTCTCTGTGCGGCCTAGGGCTGGCCGACCTGGTGGGGACACCCTGTCCCTCTGGGGTTCCCACTGCATGCTTCAGCAATGATACTGGCCAAGCCCAACTGTCATGTTACTGCTCATCTGGTTTCTCAGTCTTTCCTTCTCCTCTGGTCAAGTCACACCAGCCTTGGAGGCACAGCACAAACACTACCTTCTCACGAGGCCGCACACAACTTTTCCTGATGGGAAAAATCCCGTGTCCTTTCCCGGTTCACACTCTTTGATGACACATGACTTTATTTGCATGAAAATGAGCCACATACAGTGTGCGACTTAGCTTCCTGTTCTGGAAGACGACCTCTGGGAGACCCTCCCTTGGTTTTATTTACTGTGTGCTGTACACAGCATATGCTCACTAATCTTACAGATGTGTGTATGTGGTATACACACACGTGTGAATGCATGTGGAGCCTCAGCACCATCGTGTGTCTTCCCGAGGAGAGCCATCCATTGCCTTTGAGACGGGCAGTGCCTGTCGTTGGCTTCGAGCTCCATCAATAGCCAGCCTAGGCTATCAAGGCCCAGGGGGCTTTTCTGTTCTTCTTCCCCAGATCTAGGATTTTAAGGGTGCACCACTGTACCCTACAGTACTACAGGTTCTCTTGATAAAACTTGGGTCTTCATGCTTGTAAGGCAAGTGCTTTGCTGGTGGATCCATCCCTCTGGACCTCAGTAAGTCTCTAGTAAAAAAAAAATCAGTGAGCGAATTGAGAAAAAGAAGAAGGTGGACACTGTGTGCCATTACCTTGAAGCATGCAGTCGTAGGCCTTCCGGTCCCTCCTCCCCAAAGCATCCCAGAAGCCCAGGGGCTCGGATCCTTCGTCACACTCGTGAATTGTCACGTTGCTGCTGCTGTGCAATCCTGCTTCCAGGGGACATCTGCATGGGAAACATGGCGGAGGCTTTACAGGCCTGGGGAGTGTCTGCAGCACAAAATTACTCAAGACCAAATCTACATATCACCGTGTCTCTAATTAAAAGTGGTTCTCAATGATGAATGAAAACATTGTGTAAACATTCTATCAGCGTCTGTGCTGGAAGAAGGACCAGTTAGCTCTGGGGAAGAATGCACAGATACACACGATATGCCACGAAGACAACGCAAATGTTTGTATCTAACACAACATTCTCCTGTTAATCATCCTCTCCAGCTAGCACACAAACTTCACTCAGAGAAAGAGGAGTTTGTGCACTGCTGACACCCACCAAGGAGGTGCTCAGTGAGCATTTGCTAAATAAATAAGTGGGTGCTTTTTTCATCATTTTGCATTGATTTTAGTGGCCCAAGCGAAAAGCCTCTTGGGGCCCCAGTGCTATTGGATTTCTCACAGAACATCTTTTAAACTCCTCCATCTCTACTGGCCATAGGAGCATGTTCTGAGAGGCCAGTTCCATCTGTCTGCCTGCTGGAAGGTTGCTTGTTTCCCTTCTCTCTGCCCTTACTACTCAGCACCGACCTTCAGGGGAGCCGGAGGAAAGGCAGCTCTCATTGCCCCATGTCAGTGCCACAGAACAGGATGACCCTGTAACCCTTTGTTGGTATGTGGTGGAACACTGCATTTTAGGAAGGAATCCAACAGTTCTCAAAGAACTGAGACTGCCCAGGCTGCCAGTAAGAGCAGAGACACAGTGGCAGGTACCTCTGGCTATGTTGCTCCTCCTGAGGATCTTACCTACCAAGAAGCCCCCAGAAGAGAACCCCAGCAGTGCTATGCCCCAGGGTTCCTGGCCTGGGGGTCTGAGAACTCACTGCTAGCTGCTGCCACACAGCTGGGGCTCCCCTGCTTTCTAAAAAAGGGCCAAGTTATTGGTCCCCCAGTTTCTTCTTTAGCTTTGCCCATTCTGCCATTCTAAAAAACATGTCCTCAGACTCCTACAAGACACGGGCATGGGCTGGACCTCTTTAACAACAAAGGCTGCAAGCCCAGTGCTCCAGACCAAGTGGCAGCTATGGGAAGAAGCCAAAGTCACTGTGTTTTCTGGGGACATCTGCCTTGCTGTTTCAGACAAGATCTTACTATATATATATAGCTCTTGGGCTAGCCTGTGCCTCCTGCCTCAGACTTCTAGGAGGACAGTGCTGGCTCATGGCTGCCTTTTCTGGAAGCAAAACTGGAAAAGCCTGAAAATTGGAGGGTTTTGTGGAGATGCGTGCCCCCTGGACTTAAGTCAGAACCCTGGCTGTAGTTGCAAAGATCCCTTACTGCGGTCACTTTAAGCACTCGGGACATCCCTTGTTGCCTTAGCATCTCTCCAGGAGTCGGAGCAACACTCACTGTTCCTTGATTTTATTCGCAGCAGTCCTTCCGACCTCCTTCGTGTGGCCCTGAGCCTTGCATCCATGCCACAGGTAAATGAGGGCCTTGTTCACGTTCAGAACAACCATGGAAGTCCTGGACCTCAGGCTGCTGCAGTGACAGGCCACCTCTAGCAAGTTCCCTTCCATGGGCACCTCTCCTCGCACACAGTACAGTCTCCAATCACCTGCAGGACACAGCGGAGGCACAGGGTTATGAGGGGCCCATTAGGACCCCTATGTGCTGTCAGAGACACATCGTAGGGATTGCAGGGCTATGTCTGAGGACATGCTGAGCAAGGACAGTGGGAGGACTTCTGGAGCTAGAGATAGGTCGCCAAAAGCTCACAAAGCAGAAAAAAATAGAAACCTTTCCAAGATTTACATAAAATACTAAAACTCTAAATGAGAGATAGAAAGGATTTAGCTTTGGGGTGCTGGCCATGAAAAGGTTATGGTATAAAATCTGCCAATTTCTAATTTTCACGAAGAGTGTGGGTAGTTACTGAGAATTCAATGCAAGATAACTCTCCTAGCCTCCCTGCACAAAAGGGCAGATCAGGAAGGAAGCACTTTGCAGGGTGGGGATCCCCACGATGCAGAACCTGGTCAGCACTAGTGAGCTTTCAGCGGGAAAGACACAGCTTTATGAGGTCGGACCTACTTTAAGGTTTTCATTTTTTTAAAAAAATTTAATTATGTGTATATATTTATGGGTGTGTGCACACATGAATGCAGTGCTTGTGGATGCCAGAAGGGGACACCAGATTCTGCTGGAACTGAAGTCACAGCTGGCTGTGGACTGCCTGATTACTGTGGGTGCTGGGAGCTGAATGTAGGTCCTCTGTAAGATCAGTGTGTTCTTAATCATTGAGACATCTCTCCAAATACTTTCAGGGAGAAGAGACAAAAACTGAATTCTAACACCGAAAGCAACTTACTTTGTGTATTTTCTTCTTCCTCTTCCCTTCGTCCAGAGTGCACCACCATACCTCCCTGGAAACACTGAAGAAAACAGGGGGGCTCCTTTCCCTGCAGAACCTGGACCTTCAAATTGAAACAGGGGAAAACAGATCATGGAAACAATACTTGACTGTTTCAGGGAACCTGGACAACACCAATAGGACACACACAAGTCATCATCCCCACGGCCATCTGAAGGTAGGCGGTGTTAGAAGTGCAATGCATAGGCTTTCTTTCCAAGTATTTTCAAGTAGAGCTTTCCCTGTAATGTTAGACAGGGATGTTACTCTGCTGCCAGGTGTACCGCCTTTCACCACTCACACCCTTCAGATTCATGGACTCTGGCATTTTCATGACATTTTAGGTAGGGCTACGACGTGACTGATTTAAATGTGTTCAGCAAGGCCCACCCCTCAGCCATGAGGAGGAGGAGGAGTTGCTGACTCACTGCGGGGTGTCCTCCTGTCCCATGGTGCTGGCTCAGTCTTCAGTGCCCCTCAGGGCCATGCCCTCAAGGCTCAGCGGTTATTTAAGTGGGCCTAGTGGGAAGTCATTAGGTCTCTGGGAGTATGTCCTCGAAGGTGGTAGATTCACTCTGACACGCGTTTCTGCTGTGCCATCCCAGCTCCTCACAAGCCCCAAACCAACATGGCCGTCCAATTACAACAGCGAAGCCTGAGACACTCAGAGTGTCTGTCATAATGGCGGGAAGTCAGCATTGCCTCTTACTGGTCTCCTCTTGGTGACACGGCTCTCCCTGACTGCTCTGGTGTCCTCTCATAAGCAGCAAGTGGCACCACTTGCTCTCACCTTGGCAGACTCCATCCCTTACAGAAGGAATGTTCTTTGAGCCCGGGCATCCTCGGCATCTATCTGGGTCCCCAGAAAGGTAGAAAACTTTTGCACCGTAAGTTATAGCTCAGGTCTGCTGGGCATAGGCAAGCGCCGTTTTGTGGCTGTGTTTTATGTGTTTATGCTTATTTTCCACGTGTTGGACTGAAAAAATGAAATGCTTGAAGGAGAGAAATTAACCTCAAACTCCTAGTGTGTGATAAACACAGGGATAAAACATATTCCTTCATGGCCTTTCGAAAACAGGCAGCTGAAATCACCTACTAATGGGACCACGTTACCACGCCATTGTTGCTAAGGACCACGTTACCACACCATTGTTGCTAAGGTCTACTTCTGAAATATGATCTATCGTGGAAAATATTCATTCTGTCTTCCAATTATTTTTAGGGAACGTCACTAGTTCTGAGAACATTTCTCGTGCCCTCACCCCTCAGGTTCTGGTCAGTTCATCATCCATCTAAGATGGTATAAACACTTGCCGACAACGTCACACTTCCCCCAAACTCCAGAGCCAGTTCCTACCTATTAGCACTAATGGATGAGACATAGGGTATGGACGAGTCAAACTTTAAAAGACACCTTTGGGGCCGTGCTAGGGATGTAGCTCAGGAGGTTTAAACCCCTGCCTAGTACAAACAATGCCCTGACCTCCCCCCACCAAAAATAAAACATAACAGAAGAATGGCTTATGAGTCTTAAAGCCCTTGTATTCAGATAGTAGTGCCTGCCAGGCTCCATGTAGGCTCAGAGTTCACGAGCCCGAAACTGGAATCTCTTCCTTGGTCATTGGGAAAAATAGTAATAAAAAAGCCAACAAAATGGCAGTGTGATTTTAAGCTGTGGAAACCCAGGAAGCAGGTAAAGGGGCTGAGTAAAGGGAGAGGGAGAGGGGCTTGCATAACAGAAGGTGATGTTTAAGCAGAAACTTGGTTGTTAAGGTTCTCAGGCCTAAACTGTTCCCCAGCATGGCCGCACCACCCAAGGGAAGCCCGTGAATGCTTGTCAGCTTTGGGTCTGCGCCCTCTGGAAAGTGGGGGTGTGTGTCTTTGTTTTTAGGATTAGGAGGAGGCCTCTCAGAACAGCGGCCCTTGCAATTGACTGTATTCAGCGCCTGATACCCACTTCATGGAAGATGGAGCTGCAGAAGGGTGGGATGAAGTGTGGTGTGGGTAGGGTTCAGAGTCTGCAGAAGAACCAGGGCTCCGTGCTCTAACAGAGTCTGTCCTCGGGGGCCAGGTCTGCAATGCCCCCCAGAGCTTACCTGGGCCCCCCTCTCTTCATCCAGCTCCACCGTCATCAGAGCTGACGTCCCCTTCTCACTCACGGTCGAGTGCCGGCCTTGCCAGAAGAAGTAGACACACTTCTCTTTGCCGGCCACTCTCACTGGATGCTCGCCCTTCTGTCGGCTTCCCACTGTGGAGATCAATGGCAGAGAGGTGAGCTGGGGCACCAGAGGGGCGGCAAAGAAATGTCTGGCCGTCTTCCCAGAGTCTCTGAGGGCCAGATATTAAGAAAAACAAAAAGGTGGCGGAGCCAAAACGGCTACCATCTTTTTCTCAGCTGACTGAAGTGTCTTCTGGGAACCCAGACAGAGGCAAACTCCCTCTGACCCCCAGTGTGGCCTGGAGGCATGGAGACAGAGAGCAGGACCAGACACACAGACACACTTTCCTACATTCTGCCACTCTTGGCAGAGGATCGGCTGAAGAAGGAGTGACGCCTGCAAATGCTGGAGGAGCTTCAAGAGCAAAGGGAACAGCACAGCCTGCTAAAACAGAATGGTGGAGCCTGTCCTTCCACCTCTCGTGTCCCAGCAGGGCTGGCGTGTGGGGGGAGCCATCTCTGCCCTGATGTATCCTGTCACCACAGCTCAGAGCAGCACAGCTCATGGTCATAAACTGGAATTTCCAAAGCTGAGAGCCAAAATGAACCTTTTCTCTTTACAAAGTGATTGCTTCAGAAGTCTTGTTATAGTAACAGAAAACTGACTTACAAAGGGTCAGTAATGGAAGAATGCAGCTGCAGGCAACACAAACATATTTAAAAATTAACACTCAAGCTGAGAGTGGAGGGCACATCTGTAATGTCAGGGCTGGTGTGTGTGTGTGTGTGTGTTTGTGTATGTGTACTGGTAGATCCTCGAAAGCTCCTTGGCCAGCCAGTGTAGCTGGTCTAGGAGCTCCAGGGTCAGTTAGGGACCTTGTCTCAGAAACCAGGGTGGGAGTGATCAAGAGTGATTAAGGAATGAATACACTCTCTCACACAGACAAATGTGTGTGTGCTCACCACACAGACACACTCACAAGAACACATACACACACTGCCTCAAATATGTAAAATGTACACACTTAATAGTCAAAATAAAAACAAATATTGATAACCAGGGGATTTCAATGAGGCATGTTAGTACATGCCCGTAGTCTGGGCTGCCAGAGCCTGGGGAAGAATGGCTGTGGGATGGAGACCCTGTCTCAAAACAACAAAGCCAAAAAAGGTGGTGTAAGGAGCTCCCACTAGGTCTGCCATTACCACAGTTCCACTCTAATCTTGTTGATAAAATTATTATTTTGAGATCTGAAGGTGAGAAGAAAGCCCCCTTAAGTCATGAAGAGGTCAACTCATCTTTATCTGATTTTGGGCCCTTTGCTTAGCAAAATACTCCCAAGTATTTAAAGTGATTCTATTAATTCCTCACACTATTTGCCTAAGCCTGGACTTCGGTACCATCTACTATGGCTCTGAACTGATCGTGTTTGCATAGTCTTGAGTGGGCAAAGTGTAACTGAACCATCCGTGATCATTTATAGACACCCATAGCTAATTTAGACAGCATTAAAACCTTTGTCCAGTGTGATAGAAGGCCATTCTGTTCTCCGGGTTACTGGAGAAAGCTATGTTAAAACCTATCATGACAGTTTATACACTCCTGGGTCTTAAATCTGTATAAATATAATTCACATGTCAGGAAACTTCACCCTACCATTCTGAAGCAGACCTCAGTGTATATGCCTACAGTACACTCTATTTCCTAAAGGACATTTTGGCTAATGTCCTATCAGTTTCTTCAGAATACCCAAACTTAGTCCTACACAGATGAACTTCATTGCTAATACATTTGTTTTTAACTTAGTAATATGAAGGTCTCTAGTAATCCACCAGACTGTAGTCATTACCCAGAGCCCTGACACAGCACACCGCTAGAGAACTGTCGAGATTAAGTCTGTTTCTGGGCTGTGTAGACAGCTCAGCTGAGGGGCCTGAACTCCATCCTTAGAACCCGCGCTAAGGAAAAGCAAAGCTATGCTCAGGAGAGATGCAGACAGGTGGATTCTCGGAGCCCGCTGGCCAGCCAGTCCCACCCACTTGGTAAGCTCTGGGGCAGTGAGGGGTGGAGGGTGCTGAGGACAGCAGGTGAGGCTGCCTCTGGCCTCCTCACAGCTATGCACATGTACACACACACATCCAAACAAACACACACACACACACACACACACACACACACACACACACACACACACATTGCCTGGAAGCCTGGAAGGACAGGTCAAGCTATCAAGTCCTGGAGACCCCATTTCTGGTTCTGCTTGTTTAAGAGGCTCCAGAAGTCTAGAGTGCACTGGGTCCAACCCTGACTCAGTCCTGCAGAATCCCACATCCCACACCAGGGTCAGATTCAACCCTGTTCTGTGGGGTGAACAGCACAGTGGGGTTGTGTCATAGTTGGCTCTAAAGAGGCCAGGACAGACTTTAGCCTGTGGCTTTGGTTTCTCTGGCCATGGGACTGTAGGTGGCCCTGTTCTTCATTTGAGAAATCCAGATAATAATAGCCACTGTGAGGGGCAGGGAAAGACCCCCAGCATCTTGCCTAAGCAGGTGTCTGTGGGGAGTGCCACAGAGTGGAACCTAGCACTGCCCACCATACAACCATGAACCTTCACAGCCGCCTTACCCAACAATCATGTATTGGCTGCCCAGGTTGGCTTCCTCACTGGCGGCAGGCCCCAGGTCGTGAGAATCAGCCCCCACACGACATGACATCCTGTTGCTCTCCCTGGGCTTGGTTTACTCTCCTTCCTGCCATACACTTCCTGGAGGGGCTGGTAAACAGCCCTTCAGACAGCAGCCTGCACAGTGCAGGTGGTCATGAAGGAAGGCCACTGGTGGCAGACTATCTCCCAGACATCAGGGAAGAACCCAGAAGTTCTTAGTCACATGGTCCTGTGCTCAGCTGGATCTAGGTTCCCAGGAGCTGGAGGAAGCTAGAAATCTCTTGGGAAGTGAATCTTGAAGTCACAGAGCTGTGATGTAAGGCTTCTAATAGAAGGACAGAGCACTGTGGACAATGATTGTTTCTTGGCAAAGAAGAAGGATTAAGCTCCAAGCTCACAATCCTACACACACACTAACACACACCCAGTGGTCTCTAGTATGAGGTGTCCGGTTGAACACTTTGCTGCAGTATTTCAACAACAGGAGCCGGAAAGACTCTAGTAGAGCATGCGGAACACACCTGTACACCTCAGTACATAGGAGGCTGAGGCAGGAAGGGAGACTGAGTCAGCCTGGGCTACATAGTGAGATCCTGCCTTAAAAATCAAACCAGCCAAGTGGTGGTGGCACATTCCTTTAATCCCAGCACTTGGGAGGCAGAGGCAGAGCTCTGTGAGTTTGAGACCAGCCTGGTCTACAGGGTGAGTTCCAGGACAGCCAAGCCTACACAGAGAAACCCTGTCTCTCAAAACCAAAACCAAACAAACAAAAATAAAACAAACAAACAAAAAAAAAACAAAAAAAACCAAGGCAAGCCAAAAAAAAATCAAACCTCATAAATAAATAATCTAAAAATGAATCCAATTAATATTTATTATTCTAGATCCATAGAACAGAGTTAGTGCTCTTAGTTTCAGAGGAGGGAGGAAGAGAGAGAGAGAGAGACAGACAGACAGACAGAGACAGACAGACAGAGAGAGACAGAGAGAATGAACGAATAACATATGCCAAGAGGTCAGAGGCAGAGAGTGGTATCTTTCTGTCATTATCTACAGTACCTCTAGAGACAGGTCTCTCAATGAGCCCAGAGTTCACACACTGTGCTGGGGGGGGTCTATCTGTTTCTGCCTCCCCAGAGGGAGGATACAGTTACAGCCACCATGCCCAGCTTTAACGTGGATGCTGGGGATCCAAACTCTGACTCTCATTCTTGTGTGATGGGAACTTTACCCACTGAGCTATCTCTGCAGCCTCAAGAGATGTGGGATTTCCCTCTGTAGGCTGTGAATATGTTTTATTGCCATTGGTTAATGAAGAAGTTGTTTTGGCCTATGTGAGGGCAGAATAGAGGTAGGTGGGAAAACTAAATTGAATACAGGGAGGATGAAGGTGGAGTCAGGCAGACGCCATGTAGCTGCTGAGGGAGAAGGACGCCAGAACCTCACCAGAAAACCATGAGCTTCATGGGAAAATATAAAAATAATAGAAATGGGTTAATTGAAGATATAAGAGCTAGGTAGGAATACGCCTAAGCCATTGGCCAAGAAGTTTTTTTAATTAATAAAGCTTCTGTGTGGTTATTCGGGTCTGGGTGGCAGGGAAATGAAAATACAGTCTCAGTTTACATCAAAAAGCTTCTTTGTTTGTTTGTTTTTTTCAAGACAGGGTTTCTCTGTGGCTTTGGAGCCTGTCCAAACTAGCTCTTGTAGACCAGGCTGGGCTCGAACTCACAAGAGGTCTGCCCGCCTCTGCCTCCTGAGTGCTGGGGTTAAAGGCGTTTCCACCGCAGTCTCCAACAGCTTATTTTTGTTGGGGCTAAAATCCAGAACCTTGCCTATGCTAAGGAAAATGTTCCACCACTAAGCTGCACCCCTGCACCTCTACTTAAACAACAAACAACAAAAGCAAGTCTTTGGCTGTGCATTCACTACCAAGCTGACGCACCATTTAGCTTCAGTTTAAAGCACTTGCATGTGCCACACTCATTGACTTCTTCAAACAGCACACAGGCCACATGTCAAGACCATGTGGAAGCCAATCATGACCTTCCCAGAAGCCTTTTTAAGGGCAGCACAAGAGTGAGGAGCAGGCATGCATTAGCGTGTGTTTGTTTCTGGATGTGAGCATCTGTGCCCTGGCCCTCCAGGCTGCCAGGAATCCCACTGTCTTTCTTTCCGGGTTCTTATCCCCACACGGTTAGATTGCCTCGGGGCTCTGGAGCAGCCCAAGCACCCAGTGTGATGCAGGGCACCCTGCTCCGGGGGTTGCCCTCCCAGGGTTTCCGAACAGAGATGGCGAATGCTCACTGACCTGCTGTGCTTGCCATGTACTTCCACTTGACCACATAGGCATCCCCCTCATGGAACTGCCCGATGCTCTGCCTGGGGAGCCGGCTGTAGTCGAATTCCAGGATATGCCACACATCTACAGAGACGGTGGCAATCTCAATCTGTCTCCTGTCATCTCCTTCCACCAGGCCATAGCCGCGGCCAACATTCACCCCGTCCAGGATGGTGCTGGCTGCCATCTGGGGCATTGCCACCATCCGTGTCACATCATAGGGCTTGGTGTCAGCCCTAGGATCATCCTGCAAGAGAACATACATGCTCAGTTGTCCCCTTGCTGCAGACATCTTTTGCTACACCCCATCAGTTTTGGTTGCTTTTATCTTTTCTCTTTTTGTGGTGCTGGGGCAGAACCCAGGGCTTGGTTGCCAACCAGGCAATTGTGCTAGCATAGGACTACATCCCCAGCCCCATTTTAGCTGTTGATGGGACGGGGCAGAAATACAGCTTTCATGGCATCTCAGGGTGTCTGACCGCACAAAGGAGAAGGCTATGTTCAGAGGAAAGAATGGGGGTCCTGCATACCCATTGCCACTAAGTGAAGCTGAGACTGGAGTCAGAAATCACTCTGTGGCATCTCTAGTGTACCCCAGAAGGCTTTAGGACATCACAGTCATTTCTGCTGGTCTCCACATAGGGCTTGATCACTGTACCTTCTGCTGGACAACTTCCCCGGAATTCTTCTCTGTGGGTCTCTTCAGTTCTGTCCAGTCAAGGAATTTCTCTTTGAACAGAATAGTTTCGTTGTGCTCCGTAACTCTCCCAAATATGGCCCAGTCAGGTCGTCCTTGCCCTTTCCTGCAGGGTGGGAGCAGGTAAGAAAAGAGCCCAGATCCAGCCATGCCAGCTGTTGGGACAACCACAACATTGCAAGTGGCTGTATCCCAGGCTCGCACCCCTCACTAAGTTTCAGAGAATAGCTGAGTATATTCTGTAAACTTTTCTCTGCCAGCTTGTTGGGATTACTGTAGAACAGGCTCAGCCTCTGCTTTGAAAATCTGTCTTACATGCCGCGAGATGGAGCAGGAGACACAGTAGCTTGTGGTGAAGGGCATGACCCTGGGAGCAGGGCCTTGGCCCCTTATCTACTCCCTCTTGTGATTAACATGCTGGTCAGGGCTCAGTCATTTCAATGCAGCAGATGTCAGCCGCTTGAGTGTTAAAAGGGGCTGGGTGCACAATCTTGGCTGCACCTTAGTGTGCCCTGGGAGATTTAAGACAGTTGTTCTCAACCTGTGGGTGGAGACCTTTTGGGGGTCAAGCAACCGTTTCACAGGGTCACCTAAGAACATCAGAAAGCAGATATGTACATTCCAATTCATAACGGTTGCAAAATTACAGTTACGAAATAGCAAAAAAATAAATTTAAGGCTGGGGATCACCACAACATGAGTTACTGTACTAAAAGGGTCGCAGCATTAAGAAGGTTGAGCACCACTGCTTTAAGACATGTTAGAATATAAGTCACCCTGTTCCAGCTGCAGTCCCCTGGCCTGGGCCTGGCAGACACAGGTTTTCAAAGCTCCTCCAAAGATTCTGTGGCACAAACAGCAGAAGCCACTGGGCAGGGGCTCCTTGGCCCATGCAGCCACATTTGAGTACTAACTGGCCATGATGTAGCATCTATGCTCCAGTATTATCCTAGCGTATCAAATATGCACTCTAGGTTTTGTTTCAGTTCCTATGGTATTAATGAGAATTTGCTTAAAGATTTATTTTTTCAATGCATAGCTATAATACTTAATTTTTGTGGTTTTCTTGCCTTTTTTCCAGACAGGGTCTTTCTCACTCTGTACCTCAGCTTGGCCTGGGAGTCACATAGCCCAGGATAACCTTAATCCTCCGAGTGGTCCTTGTGCTTCAGTTCTCTGAGTGCTGGGATTGCAGGTCTGGCTTTTAAATATTGAAATCAAATATTCGCAAACCAGTTACTGGACTGTAAAGAGAGAAACTGTGCAGGGATCTCGAAGTGCAATGCCCTGTGTGGTTCCACGCTGTGCGTGTTCCTTATTACAGGCACACAGTTTTAGAGGATTTTGGAGGATCTGGGAGTGAAAAATCATTGATGCAGGAATGCTTTTCTTTAAATTCACAATCATTTTTTTTAGAGTTTCTGCCTGCTCTGCTTTCCTCAAGTAGTTTTTAAAAGTCAGTACATGGTAGTGAATGCTAAAATCACAACCATTCTTTAAAATCAGTATCCTCTTTCCTTCCACCCCAGAAGATATAAGACAGCAGAGGACAAAGTGTCCAGGGCTCAGGGTAGGAAGAGGAAACCTGGGAAGTTCTTAATTGTCACAACAGCACCTGAGACACTGGGGTGTGTGGGGGGGTCCTTCCTAAAGCCACAACCCCCATATTCTACCAGTCATGTGACAGCTAAGGTGTCTGGAGATGATGGAGGCCTGAGAGAAGAGCAGGCCTGCGCAGCAGCGGCACCTGGGAATGAGCGGGTTGCACTCGCCAGGGTCCAGCGGGTTGATGTCACAGTTCTCGTAGTCAAAGGTTCCGTTCCACAAGTGCTTGGCCAGCTGGAATGCTATTTTCCGTTGTGCTAACGTGACTTCCTTCCCATGCCACACGTAAACTTCACTTCCAAAGTCAAACACCAGGACCTGGAGACAGCACAAACGGATATGTGGACTTCATGGGTGATCTCCGGACTCGGGCCCTGTTGATGACTTCACACTTTTTTTTTTTTTTTTTTTTGGTTTTTCGAGACAGGGTTTCTCTGTGGTTTTGGAGCCTGTTGTGGAACTAGCTCTTATAGACCAGGCTGGTCTCGAACTCACAGAGATCCGCCTGCCTCTGCCTCCCGAGTGCTGGGATTAAAGGCATGCGCCACCACCGCCCGGCGACTTCACACTTCTTAACACTCGCACCTCCCAAAGCTTTAAATCAAGAATTATGGAAGTATTCCCCTGTCTTTGTTCCTTCCTCTCTTCCTTGCTTCTCCTTTCTTCCCTCCTCCTCTCCCTCCCTTTCTCATTCATTCATTCATTCATTCACACACGCGGCAGGTGCTGAGGAGTCATCTCTCCTGTGTGCGGTTCTAAGATCCCTGGGGCAGAGGTCAATACCATTCTTCTTTTTCTTTAAAATTGTTTTTATTGAGCTCTACATTTTTCTCTGCTCCCCTCCCTTTCTCTCCCCTCCCCTTTTATCCTCTCTCATGGTCCCCATGCTCCCAATTTACTCAGGAGATCTTGTCTTTTGCTAATTCCCATGTACATTAGATCCCTATGTCTCTCAGGGTCCTCATTGTTGTCTAGGTTCTCTGGGATTGTAAATTGTAGGTTGGTTTTCTTTGCTTTATGTCTAGAAGCCACTTATGAGTGAGTAGCTATGATAATAGGGGCTTATCCCTAAGTGTCTGTGGCATGAACTATTGGAATGCTCCTTCTTTTTCCTTTTTCCTTGCCTTCATTTCTAGCACCCTAGACAGTGCTTTAACTCATTTCATTTTCTTCCTAAGACTATTGCTCATTATTTTTTTTTGCTGTGACTTTTGTGCCCATTTCCATGTCCCTATACATCATACCCTCAGTCTAGCTTTGGATGGCGTTTTCCTCTTTTATTATTAAATACACTGCTACATGTTTGAGGCTATCTATGTGTGCGGTGGGACGCTCTGGGATGCAGACAGCGAGCACAGTGGCTGCAGCAGTGCAGGAGCTAACACAGCCATCACCGTCTGCTGCGCACTTCTGCTCTCTGTTGCCTCAGTGGTAAGAACAGTGAAAATCTCCGCATTTTGCAGGGGTCTCCGGCAGCAACATTGACTGACGGTAGCTGCACACTGTGTAACAGACACCTAGATACACTCTGCTTCTTACACTTGCTGCTTCTGCCCTTCGACCTGCCTCCCTTGGTGCTTTCAGCCCCCACCCCCACCTCGGCAGCTTCTGCTTTCTTTTCTGTCTCTATATAATTGACTTTGTCCCCTTCTCCATTTCTGGGGACGATTCCACATATGGTGAGATCACACAATATTTCAATATTTCTCTCTCCATTCACGACTTATTTCACTCATCTTGTAGCTCTAGGAGTTACATTGTTTGCATTTACTAACAGTTTAAAAATTACATTTATTTTGTGTATGTGTAAGGAATGTAAGTGAACAAGCTCTCTAATCAAAATACAGAGTGGCTGGAAGGGTCAAGAAAAGAAAACATGGGAAAGAATCTGTGGCTCAATGGGGAAAAGCACATACCGCTCTTCCAGAGGACCCAGGTTTAATTCCTAGTACCCACGTGGTGGCTCACAGTGGTCTGTGACTCCAAGGCCAGAAGATCTGATGCCCTCTCCTGGCCTCTGGGGCACTGCATTCATGTGGTATACAGGCACTAATTTCAGGTAACACACCCATACAAATAAACAGAAAATTAAAAAAAAATCCTGTGATGTTTGAAAAGAACATTGCTATGTATTTGTTTGCATGTTTGCTGTGAGTTCATGTGCACACACAGGAAGCTAATTCAAGGGAGTTGGTTTTTCTGCCCACCATGTTGGACCTGGAAACTGAACGAGTCTTCAGGCCTGGCAGTGAGAGCCTTTTCTCACTGATTCACTGTGCCTGCACTGAATTCTTTGAAATATATTTCTACCTAGTGGAGTTTAAGGGCATTGTGTATCTTCCCCTTTCCTCTCAGCCATTAGAATACTTAATGATGCTGGAAATAAGTCTATTTAATAAATACTTATTGTGGGGCATGAAAAATCTGTAAATTATATTAACTATATGTAAATTATATGCAATTACATGTACTCATACTAATTATTCCTGAAACTTTAGGACTAACTAAATTTTACTTTCATCTTTATATATTTCGAGACATGGGGATAGTATTTATGTTTTATATAAATTATAAACGCCTTCAATGATTCCTGACATTTCTGAAAAATCCTCTGAACTTTGTTAGTGTTGTAGATAGCAGTCATGGTTTGAAACAGCACCTAAGTGTCCCTTAGCAAATGCCGTGTGTGACAGTCAGCATGGGAGCGGCCCCAGCAGCGCTGTGTCCCTGAGCTGGTACCTCTTTGGACTGCAGAAGGGAGCACTTGGGAATCTTCCCCCAGTAGTCATCATCAGGGACGAGTTTGTCGTCTGTCAGGCGGTAGACACAGTTCGTCTCTATGATGGCTGTCTCGTACAGTTCATCTTCCTTTGGGTCTCCGGCAGCTTCGGGATAAGTCAGGACATTAGAAAGTGGTTGACTTAAAGGACCAGTTAAAGGAGGGGGCCAGGAGAAAGGATGCTCAAGCCTCCTCCCTCTGAAATATAGCAAGCTCTTACACTGGTAACTGGTCTGGCCACCCAGGAGCTTCCAGAAGTCTTTGGCTGCATGAGTGTGTGTGTTAATGCCTTCCTCAATGGTCTGGATGTATGTAGCTCTACACCCAAGCTCCCTTTTTGTCTGAATTAATGTTGCAAGTTCAGATGCCTGAAAAAGAGAGGGACACAATGAGTTAGGAAGCAAAACTAGTGTGATCTGCACACAGGGATCCACACAGCCACCAGAGAATGAATGCATGGCAAAAGAGTCGGCCATAGGGTGGTGGGCGTTGGCTGTCTGAGCTGAGAAGTGGAGTTGTATGAGAAGGTGGGTCCAGTCTTTGGAGCGACAATGCTTAGTGTATTATATTAAACTGATAACTCTGGGCTTTGGACGCTGTCCCAGGACTGGGGCTTCCCCCATGGGGCACTCAGGAAAGCCACACTGCCACTACACAGATGTGTAGGCCACCCAGAAGTCAGCTCAGTCTCAGGGCTTTCAAACTTGAGGCAGGTCACAGACCTTTACTTTAGCACCTCGTAGAAGCTTCTTCAGAGATTCTAGCAAAGAAAACACTACCTGCCCCTTCCTGCCTGAATGAAACACAAGGTATCTGAGAGGCTTGCACAGATCAGCTAGTAGAACACCTCACTGTGTAAAGACACAGCATTAGAAGCATCTTATCATTTGGACACCTACCTTTGCCTTCTCGATGACATTTGAAAACTCTCCTACCCACAGGAAGCAGTACTGGGGAGAGAGCAGAAGGAAGCAGTCCCCACTGTTGAGTGACGAGGCTCGAGGCTCCACCAGCCTTGTCTGAACATGTCTTCTACCTGTGGACAAACCCCAGCATCCTTTTTCCATCATACAGACATGGATGACAGACACATCTCTTCTACAGACCTCCCATTCTAAAGACTATTCATCTGAAGTCTCGGACCAGCAGGACATGGAAATTAAGAAGGGCCACATGACAGCACCATCAGTTGATGTTGCTGGTGAGTGCTCGCCCAGAGTATCTGTGCTTCTTAGAAGTGGTCTCAGAGCCTTGGCTTTTAGCATGTCTGTGGATGTAGTGAGCTCCTCCCACCTCAGGAGAGTGGTAGGGAGGACACCCTGCTCTCTCTTTCACATTCGTGCTGCCTTTTCTCCACACAGCCTATTTCCTGCACTGTAATCTGGCCGTGCAGCAGGGTAAGGCATGGCTCCTCACAGGATCTGCTTCCACGCTGTAACTCCCAGAGCACTCAGGGATCACTTAGGAGGGAGGCACGGCCTTGCGTCACTTCCACCCCCACTTCTAAGTGATTGACCAAGTTGGAGCACTCTATGGTTCCACGCCAGGTATAATTGCACATCAGAGCCCCTCACCTGTTGTATGTGTGTGTTGTGTACACACGCGTGTGTGCCCATGCACAGATGTGTATGTTGTATGCACACGTGTGTGAAGGTGTGTGCACAGGTATGTGTACCCATGCATGGATATGTGGTGATCAGAGGAAGGCTTGAATCATTTTCTTCCCTTGAGACAGAACCCGACCTTGCCATTTTACCTAGACTGGCTGGCCAGTGAGCTTCGGGGATCTGCCTGTCTCTGCCCCACAATACTCAGGTTTCAGGCACATACACCCGTGCTGGATTTTTATGTGGGTGTCAGGGATTCAAGCATGGGTTCTTGTGCTTATGAAAGAATCAGTCTTACCCAGTGAAACATCTCCCTACCCTTCACTCATCTTTTAAATACATTGAGAAGGAAATGACTTTGCAGAAAACACTCCAGAATCTTTGGCAGAGGCAGACACAATTCCAAGAGGTCACCTCTAGGAGTGAAGCTGCCCTCCCTCCTACTGCTCTTCCAAGTCTCATGTGTTGTAGACAAACAGGACAGGAGACTGGAACCTGGGGACGGGTGAGGCCCGGTCATTCCCGAATTCCCTCGATTCCTTCCCCAGGGATGTGCTTCCTTACTCTGGTTTTCATGGATCATGACTTATCCTAGTAGGGAGAGCAGGGGAGGGTGTGCAGACCCATGCTGCAGACTTCAGACACATCTGGTCCAGTGCATGGCAGTGCTAGAGTAAGGGCTACCGGGGCGGAAGCAGAAGCAGAAGCAGAAGCTGAGACTCTGAAGGGTAAAGAACTGGGTCCAGCTCTGGGTCTCCCCGCAGCAGCTCCTGTGTCCACATTCACAGACTCCAGAGCTCCAGCGGCTGTGTGGAGTCTGTGATGTCACAGTGAGGGATGCAGCCAGGAGTCCCACCGTGACCAGTCAGAAGCACAGGCTGCCACAGCTCCTTTAGACCACTAGGAAGAATACCTTTAATCTGCAACAGCATGAGCTTCTTGTAGGGCACGGCGCTGTTGTTGGAGTTCTGCTCCATCAGGTTGACGCTCCGCAGGCTGATGCTACTGAAGTTCTCCCTGCTGGCCAGGCCTGCCAGCGTCACTTCTGAGAAGTTGGAATTGGCCGACACTGTGAAGAAAGGTGCGGGAGGAGGCTCAGCGGAGCCAAGGCTCACGACATAGGTGACTAAACTCACAGGACTCAGGCTGAGGAGCTGTGCCGTTCCAAGCTTAATTACTGTGTATAGAGTTAAATGCAGAGGTCCTGCAGTTGCTTGGAGTTAAGTTAGATGGGCTGGGGGGGGTGACTTGGAATAGACTCTGGAATAGAGAGTGAGGTTGGTCTCTGACTGTACATGACCTGGAGCTACACACCTCTGTTTTAAACTGGCCCATAATGTGGGTTCCACTACTGTCAAACAGTGATTTTCATGGCAGTAATAGCATCTACCATCTTGATATTTGAATACTTTTTGTTATAATTTTTATTTTCCTTTTCCTGTATCATTCATAAACCAATTTGTCAAAGTTTTTTTTTTCATTGAAAGAGTGTTTAGTGGTGGTGCACTTGCAACTTCAGCACTAGAGGAGACTACCAAGTACCAGTCTAGTCTGAACTACATGTCAGACCATAGCTTCCAAAGAAAGGAAGGTGGGAAGAAGGAAAGATGAAAGAAAGGAAAGGAGGGAGGGATGGAGGGAGAAAGGAAGGACGGATGGAAGGGAAGGAGGGAGGGAGGGAGGGAGGGAGGGAGGGAGGGAGAAAGAATGGAAGGACGGATGGAAGGGGGAGGGATGAAGGGAGAAAGGAAGGAAAGATGGAAGGAAGGGAGGGTGGGAGAAAGGAAGGAAGAAGAAGGGTAGAGGAGGAGAGAGGCGGAGAATTTAGATGAACTAGTTCTCTTTGCATCCCTACTAGTTGATTAAGAAAAGCTTTTCAAAAGGCCAGGGCCGCCCGATATACCAAACAGCATCAGTGTTCTGTACTCAGTGTTAGGTCCTAGTTGAAATCACTGGCTGACTTTTGACTCAGTAGTAACATTTTTAAAACAATGAGCTGAGAAGGCATAAAGGTTTACTGACACAATTTTCACATATCTCTCCACAACCTCCTCTTCTATGGGCCTCAGGTTTGGCTTTTGCTGCTTTTGATCCACACTGAAAACCCCGCATCTTATGACTAAAGCCAGGTCTGAGGGCAGAGAGCCTCAAGGTACTGTGCAACTGATCACGTTAATTTCAAAATAATGACATCATCCCTACAGGCTGTCACCTTTGTACCCGTGAAGACTTGGTGAAAGATGCCTACCAGGGAGAATCAGTCCCAGCATCTCTAAGGGGTTAGGAATTCTGAGCACTGTTGGCAGAACTGGATGGAGTGAGTCTACATCTGGTGTTTAGCTGGGTAGGTTCTGTTCCATGTCACTAAGTTGGCCTCCTGCAGGTGACAAGTGCTGTGACACCTGTCAACAGCAGCTGATGCTTTCTGAAAGTACTGGTTTAAAATGCTGGGGTGAGGAAAGAAGGGAACTAGACATCCACACGAGATCTCCTAAGACACTCTTGAGTAAGATTAAGTGGAGACAGAGGCAGCTGACCTGAGGTCATGGGAGCTAGACTGACAATTGGGGGTCCCTGAGACCTAACTAGGCTTTCTGCATGTGGGTGACAGTTGTGTAGCTTGGTCTGTTTGAGGGGCCCATGGTAGTAGGGCTAGGATCTATCCTTGGTGCATGAGCTGCCTTTTTGAAACACATCGTCTATGATGGGATGCCTTGCTTGACCTTGATGCAGTGGGGAGGGGCTTGGTCCTGCATCAACTTAATGTGCCAGGCTGTGTTGACTCTCCATGGGAGGCCTTATCCTTTCTGAGGAATGGATGGGGGTGGTTTGGTAGAAGGTAGGGGCAGTGGGAGGAGGGGAAGGAGGGGGAACTGTGGTTGGTATGTAAAATGAATAGAAAAATTTAAAATAGAAGGATGAGAGGAAGGGGAGGGGGAAGAAGAGGAGGAAGAGGAAGAGGAAGAGGAAGAAGAAGAAGAAGAAGAAGAAGAAGAAGAAGAAGAAGAAGAAGAAGAAGAAGAAGAAGAAGAAGAAGAAGAAGACAGTAGTAGTAGTAATAAATAAGAGTAAATGGAGAGAGAATTGCTGTGCTTGGGTTTTCCAGAGCAGAATTCCAAATCCAGAAACAGACGACTCCTATCAGCAAAACAGCATCATTTAAACAGCACTTTAGTGAGAAACCTTTAAACTCTGGGCAAGCATACACGTGTATGTGTGAATTCACTTTTGCTAATGGATGCTCCCAGGCCCCACAAGGCAGATAAAGAGGACATAACAGGTAGGCAGTACTGAGGGACCCGAAGAAGCAGGCTCCTCCCACTCACTCTTCTCCACTTTCATCCGCTTGGACTCCATGAAGGCAACATTGAGTCTTTGCTCTGTGTATTCCTGGAGGAGATCATCTCTTGCTGCCAGCAATTTGAGAGGGTTCTTGGAAGCTTGGACTCGGCGCTTGGGCCTAACCGAGCGCTTATGCTCGGCCACGGAAGATGTCAACCTGTGGGCAAAGCAGATGAGGTTGGTGTCTTAGACCCGGGACAATACACTCTGCTACGTTTACTTCCTGATTTCGTCCCACTGCTCCTGCTGTGAGGTAGTCACATCCTGGAGGTAAAGGGAGATTTGAGCCTACTCTAGTTCTGGAAGCCTTGCCCACTTGTGCCTATGGTCTCTGTCTGGAGGGTTCCCAGTGTTATAGGACAGCTCATTCCACTGCTGGTTAGGGAGCCCAAGATTCTCTGTACATGCATGGCTACTGCTGCTGTCACCAGCAAGTTCTCAGAGACTCCCCAGATGGCCACTGTACCTCCATTGAATCCCCTTTGCCCCACATTAAATCGTTTTTTTTTTTTTCACACACAGCTTTTCTGTTCCCTCCACAGCTAGTATTAACTCAACCTACGAGCTCCCTGAGGAAATTAACCATACTTGTGAAGAATATATTGGAATAAAATAGGCCTTCAGAATCATGTCTTGTCCCTGAGACTGTCCCAAGACTGAGTTGACCAGCCTGGGGAGGTAGTGTGTCAATGATACGATCTTTCAACAGACTCCTGTGCTGTTGCAACTGTCAACTGTTTAGTTCTCTGCAGGAAGCATTCTTTGTACACAACTACTGTGCGTGTGAGCACAAGTACACAATTGTGTAAGTCATTACTTATCACAACTATATATACCACTTCAGCAATGACAGTTGGATGGGGAGAAGATGAACTGAATTGACATACCCAAAGCAGTACATCACATGAGGAGCAGTTTAGGGAAACCTCTACCATGAGTAAACACACCCGTGGGAGACACAGTCATTCTGGTAATCGTATAGGAAAGAGCAGAGCCATGCGGTGGGTGGCTGTGTGCAACTTGCTTACAACAAGTGCCCCTACTTCTGATAATATCATATGGGCTTCCTCTGGTGCCCATCTCCCCCCCCAAGGTTGGTAGACATCATCTGTTCCCTTGACTCCATGAATGACTTTAGGGATAGACTTGGGACCCAAACTGAAACAGTGAAGGCCAAACCTGAACTTTGAGAGTCTGCTGGGAAGTGAACCAGACTGCTGTGTTGACTGAGTAGCCTGGTCATTTGGTGCTTGAGGTGGACACCTCTTTCCCTACAGTTGCAGCTTGACCAAGAGAGAAGCTAGTGTATGGAAAGACACACCGTGCTGCTCTGGACACTCAGGGCACACCCGAGTTCTTCCCCAGTGGTTTTTTTTTTTTTTTCTGATCGCAATTCAACACATGTATTTTTCTGGCATATGGCACAGATGGAATCCTAACACATAATCACTTTCTATAGCATTTGGGTGTCTCCGAGAAAACCCATGAACATACTAATTTTATACATCACTGACAGCAAAGGAACCCTAGCTCCTAATTTGCTAAGCTGTTTTCATCCAAATATCCAGTTGTGAGTACGTTAGGGTGTCCAGTGGGACGTTGTGGGCATCTGCTAGGTTGCAATGCCATAAAACACCACAACGTGTGAGCGATGTGAAACCAGGCACACCTTTCAAGACTGCACAAATACCCAGGCACACACAGCAGGCGTGCAAGTGCAGCAGGGCGACCACGTGCGCTCTCTGCACCAAGGAGATGTGCACCTGACTCTAGAGCACATATGCATGGCGGAAGTGTCTGCTGACAGTTGAGGAGGCATGGGAAGGAAGTCAATCTCAAACTCACTTGGGGGCATACGGGTCAAAAATGACATCAAAGTCCTCGTCCAGATCCACAGGACTTCGAGGTATACTGTGATCCACGCTGCGGTAGAATTTGGCAAAGGTCTCATCATCATCCAACTTCATCACCTCCTTGACAGATTTCCCAGTGACCGTGAGAACCGTCTCCTGCATCCCGGCAACTATCAAAATGGAGCAAAGCCCCCATGAGCTTTAGAGAAACAATTTCTGTGACCCTTCTTTGCACTGTTGTAATGGTCTTTTCCCTCAGATTCCCAGAGTAGGGGAAAGTTCGCTCTCTGCCTGCTCCCGCCCCCTAGCTCCCAGCTTGCTCTGCTTCTCACATAAGGACCTCCCACCTCCCAGTGATGCTAGGTCAGGAAGCAGGCTGACTGTGCCTACACAAACACATGAGCATTTCTGAACCCGACCTCTCCTGGAGGGGAGCTAACCTCAGCCTTGTTCCATCTAAGGGTTCTGCAAACATTTCTGCTAAGGGCTGGGAAGCGTTTGACTGACCACACATGATGTCACTGTGTAGCTTGTGATGCCATCCCTCCATCCTACGGTTACAGCGTCAGTGTGACCATGAGAGGACAGAGCTGTGCTCCAATAAGAGCAGGTGGGACACTGGGGAGGTCACGGCACTGCCTGCTGGCTAGTTTATATTAGCTAATATAAAAGTCATTTAAAAGAAGAAAATATCAACAGAAAATGCCCCTACAAGATTGGCCTGTGGGACATTGTCTTGATTCGTGATTATGTGGGAGGCTCCAGCCCATAATGGGTGGTGCCGCCCCCAGGCAGGTGGTCCTGGGTGTTTAGAGGAAGCCATGAGAAGCATGACAGTAAGCAGCACCCCTCCGTGGCCCTTGCAGTCAGGTTCCAGTCCTGATGAGTTCTTGTTCTGACTTCCTTGGATGATAGACTACAAACAGTAAGATAAAAGAAAACCCTTTCCGCACCAAGTTTTTTTTTTTTCTTCAGTCATGGTATTTATGACAGCCATAGAAACCTAACTAAGACAATGGTATGATAGATTTCATTGTTAATATATGTTACCCAGTCAAATTAGCTACTGTATTACACCCGTATCATCTGTTTTTCAGTGTTTGTGTAACTTACAGCCTTTAGGGGTCACTGTCAACAGTGCAGACTACTAGTACCAGGTACTGGTTTATCACAAGAGAAGCAGCTATTTCTGCCAACTGCCTTCTGTGTCAACAACTATTATATTAAAACGTTTATTGCATTACCTTTTTACCAGAATTGTTTTTTAGAAAGTATTTGGGATTATAAAAAATACCTTTTGCTTTAACAGAAATGATGCCTATAACTCAAAGCCAAGAGTACGTTGGTTTTGTATTTGTACAGTAACTGCTTTGTGGCGTAAAGGCAACATTATGGAGGTATACTTGGATTGGATGACATCCCAAGGGTTTGAAAACTTGGGTATCCCAAATTCAGGATATTATCAAGTGGATCAGAGTTTGAACTTTAATTAGTATTGACTACAGTTTCATTTTCTGAAGGATAACAACAGAAACTTTAAGTGTGTGTGTATGTATAAATTGCTAAAAGTATACTAGAAAGAAATAATTTGGCTGAGGAGGGAGAGGAATCAGAAGTAGGATTTGGAGAGCCAAATATGGTGATGCATGCCTGTCACGCTAGCTCTTAGCGGAAGATCAGAAGTTCAAGGTTATCCTTGGCGATGTAGTAAGTTCAAGGCTAGCCTAGTCTACATGAGACCTTGTTTCAAAAAACAAAATATCAGTAAAAACAAAAACAAATGCCAAACACAAACAGAAACAAACACCCCAAAAGTTAAGAAGTTGAAACTTGGAATTCAGAAATTCTGAGAGAGTAGATGCTGTCAGGGATTTTAAGATTTTCTTTGTCATTCATGGGAAGTAGAGAGCATAGAGTGCTGTAGCAGAAGCTCCCCTCTGCCTTCTGGAATGTACCTTTGTTGTTCAGCTTCCTTAGAAAAGTCTCCAGCCTGTCCAGCTTCAGGTCCGATTCCAGCTGCATGTCTGGTCTGGCTTCAATATCTAAACAACAGAAACCATCAGTAAGCAAGTGACCCCCGGGGCCTCCCTGTGCCGATGCTTGCATCACTGTGGACGGGATGACTTACCTTCCAGGGGTTTGGAAACTGGGGTGGTGCCCCTTGATTTGCTGCAGAGAGGGGATGAGACTGGGGTTATGGCTGTGGGTGATGCCAGACCTACAGAACACACAAGTGGACAGTTTAGCATCTTAAAGATTAATTGTGGAAGTTCACAGAAGCCAGTAATCTGAACATGCCCCTACAGTACGAGCAGATACACAAGTTAACCTGTATGCACAGGTTAGCCACCACACTGTGCAGGGCTGTACAGGCCAAATGCAGCCATACCTTTGATTTTCCTATTCCTATGAACTACGCAGCTGTCAAGCTGGTGTTCCAAAATGAACAGAGAAGGCATGGGGAAACATACCCACAGCATGTAAATGGCTCCCAGGATATCCTGGAACAATGAAGTTTGGAAGGTCTATTTGAGTGGCAGAATCACAGAGGAAAAAACAAAGTGGTAGCATCTCCCATAGAATAAGTTAGGAGTAGGCTGTCTTGTCCTAGGCAGCAAGTGGCCCTGGACACCAGGATTCTTGTCCAGTCTGGCGGGGGTGGGGGCAGTCACAATGTGGTCTCCTTAGGATAAGATAACTATTAAAACATTTAGCATATATTTCTTCTTTGATATTGTTCATGCTGGTTATGATTCTAATTTTTATGTATGGTTTTCCTCTTCTTTTCCCTGGACAATATTTGATATTTGTTCTTACTGCATACAGTTTTGTATTAGGCTTAGAACTCTCTTATTTAGACAAAAGGGGGAGGTGCTTTTTGGCCAATAGCTTTTAAGATAACATCCTACTTTGAGCATGGTCTCTTGTACTTTAAATGCAGACAAAAAGCATGCGCAAATTTGGTTCTAGTTCCCAGCTCATACAGAGGACTGGCGGATTGCTACTCTTTCTGTGCGTTTATTCCCAGACAAATAAACCTTTGTTATACTCCATTTCGGGCTATTGTGGAGCTCTTTTTACATCAACAGATGGAGAATCGCCCAGAGGTCTGACCTCAGAAGAAAGATTTGGGATTGTGGGAGAGTCACACTCAACAGCTGAGGTATGCTGAAAACAACCATATGTTCCCTGAGACACAGGGTGGGAAGCATTTACTCAGTCAAAGGCTGGTGACAGGTAAGAAGGGAAATTTTAACAGAGTGGGCACCCTGTTGAAATAAGCAAATTGCCATCAGGATATAAGTTGGAGCCAACAGATGAAGCCTTGGGTTTACTTTCAATTCAAATTGTTTTTTTTTTTTATCGATTTGAGCCGCTTCTTGTTAGTGGGGGGAAGGTGAGGTGTGTGTGTGTGTGTGTGTGTGTGTGTGTGTGTGTGTGTGTTGGGGGCAAGGGCCGGGCTCAAGATTACACCTGACTAAACAGTTCCCATAAGAAAAGCCAAGTCCTGCTTCAATCTGTGAAAGTAAATGGTCTTCTGTTGTCCTTGGATGATCCCAAGGTTAACACATTTGTTTCAAAGGCTTCTGCGAAGATCCAAGGAAATTTCCCTCTGAGATTTGCCCTCTCCCCCGCAAATATTCACACAGTGAATGACTTTGACTCTACACAGGACGGAAGGTTTAAGGCGAGGAAATGCTCAGCTCAGGAAGTACACGGCAGAACTTGAAGCCTGAAGGGATCTTGGCATTTAACCATGTCCCAAAGAACAGGAATTAAAGCCCCCAACACCCTCAAAACTCTCTGCAGATGACTTAGGGATGAGGCATGCGTCTCAGCACTCAGTTTCCTGCGCGTTTGGGTCCAGCCTCCTGCAGTTCTAGCGTTCCTGGTGAACTAAGGATGCAGGGCATCCTTCTCCCTGGAATTCAGAGCATCCTCTAGACATCTCTCACATGCCTGCAAAGGGACATAGGAAGTGACCCGCAAGGGACAAGAGGGGTTCCTTCATACTAAAATGCCTTTACTACCAAAAGCTTATTTGATAGTGGTGGGGTGGTGGGGAGGCACGGCTAGATGCTCATTAGGCCACAAGAAGATGGAAACAATTTAAAACGAATTGTGGGAAATAATTGGTTAAAATTACTTGTATCTTTCTGTCTTTTTTCTTTTTCTTTCTTTCTTTTTTTTTTTTTTTGGCAGAGCTGATTGCTTCTGAAACCTACAATTGTACTCAGTCTCTAAACAGGTGGGTTCTGAAATAGTGACAGACTGAATCAGGGTTCCTATGTTGAAGAGGGCAGCAACTAAGAAGCCTGCAGCAGAAATACTCCGCGCAGCCATCAAAACCCATCTACTTAACGCCCATGCAGTGTTAGATGAGTTTCCTTTTTCTGCTGAGTGTCTACATTCATGTGTGCCCTGACGTGTGTGTGCACACATGTGCATGCACTGACACATGCATACACACAGGAGCTGACCTTTCTTCACCATTCTTCCTGCCACGGTGAACTGGGTGGAGTCATTGGCAGCTCCCCTGCCCTTCATCTTCCACGCTTCCTCTCGCACAGTGATGAGGTGTTTCCGCTCCTCAATCGTCATCTGGCTCTCTCGACTTTCTGTGACCCGCTGTGTGCAAAATGCATAGGAGGGAAAATAAGTAAAGAAACAAAGTCCTACTTGTCTCCTGAGTGCTGGATGAGTTCATGAGGGAAGTTCACCCACAGGTGCTCCCAGAGAGCATGGCTACTCCAGAACGTCAGCTCCCCAAGAGTGTGAGTGACGGTGCAGCGGGAGCACTGGTTAGGAGGATGAGTTGTAGGATTCCCCAGGACCGGATGTCACCTGGGGTTAGGTAGCCAGGGGACCCCAGAAGAAGGCTCTAGATAACAACAGACCTAACACCCAGTGTTTACTTTGTTAAGCATAACCCACACAGAGAACAACGGTTCTCAGCTTTTGAGTCTCTAACACAGCTGATTTCAGTGACAAACGCCAGCTTCCCTATCATCTATTCTGTGAATCTTCCTTGCACATGGTTCCTTAGCACAGCTTCATGGCCAGAAGTGATTCTGACACCCTTAATGGTTCAGATGAGGTGAAGACCTTGTTCCAACATATGACAGATAAGTGCAATATATGATCCTAGTACGAGCCCAGGAATGGGCTTAGTAAGGATATTATAGTGGAAATTGACACAATTCAAATACAAAATGGGCTTGGTAAACATGATGCCAGTGTCAAGTTCTGTCTTGATTATTGCATCACTATATCATAAGCACGGAGGAGAAAACACCCTTGCCTTTAGGAAGTACACACTGAAATACTGAATGGAGCAGGTCTCCATGCCACTCAAACTTCTTGCGCATGGTTTGGGAAGGAGATAAAATTAGATACGTACAGTCATTCATATATATATATATTCATATACACAGCCACACACAGAGATACACATATACACACACATTCATACAGAGTCACACAAAACACAATCTTACACATTCACAATCACACACGTGCACTCATATACACAGCCACACATACTCACAGTCAAACGCATAAGGACAGTCAAAGGACACAGACACAGACTACACAATCGTACATGAAATGGGAGAGGGGATCAGGAGGGCGGTAGAAGGAAGAGTGAATATCAGAAACCAGGGTCAGGAGGGGGTACAGCAGAGGCCCTGACCAGTAATGAAACTTCTCTAGGACTTTTAACTGTTGCCAATATGTAAGTTACCTGTCGTTACCAAGAACTAAAAACAAAAGCAAGAACACAGACAACCTTTTCATTCAGGATTGACAAGATGACCCAAAGAATGCTTGAGTTATGTAATTTTACTAAGTAAATTATGAAGTCTTGATAAAAGATTCAATAATATTTGAGAGAATAAGTTTGCTTGAAAATGAAGTGTCTGGAGTAAAGTTTAATTAAACCAGTAGAGCAGCTGGCTAAAAGTATTTCCAAAAATATCCAGAATGCCTTTAAAATGGGTTCCTCTCTCTATGGTGAGCTCATGGTCTCTCCAGAGAGCAGGGCACGGTAATGTGGTGCAGTTAATGACTCAGAAAATGCTTGAATCAACTGCTTAGCTCTCCTTGAAACACCTCAAATGTCTTCATGGAAGATGAAACTTCTGAGCCCTGAGATGAAAGCAACTCAACCAAAGCTTCCTGAAGTGATATTTTTGATTTCCTTCTAAATGCAAGTATTAAACATATAAGTTTTTCTATCCCTGAAAATGTCTATATAACTTGACTAGTTGGCATGCTTGGCTTGGGAACCCCTAGTTTGTACCCCGTGGCCTTACAAGGCTCTAGAAGGTGTGATGAATGTCCACTGTGTATTTCCTGAAAAACCTTTAAAATCCACTCGGATATATGAAACCTCTCAATGTATGGAAAAAAGAATCTACCCTTGTCCCTTTCTTTTTTCAGTTTGAAATGACATTATTGTCTTGCTTTTCTCTCTAAACATTTCTTTTCTTGTTTAATTCTGTTAAGTTCTGTATCCTGTCTTAGGGTTAGCAGATGGATGTTTAGGAGCCTGGAACAGTGAGAGAGAGGCAGAATATGGGCAGAGGACCTACCTCACCCGTAAGTCATTCTTTCAAATAGAGATGCCATCAGTTTTGGAGAGAAGCAGAGGGAATGAGAAAGAGATGTGGGAGGAGGTGTAGAAGAAAGTGAAACATCTGAGAAGAAAGAAAGGTGGCAGACACATCAGGACAATCGATGAGCTGTTTCCAGGTCGCCAGGATGCTGTGGATTGGCTCATTTCCCTCTAGGCTCCTGGGAAATCACAGAGCCACACATTTCACCCACAGAGGAGAGAGCAGCTCAGGTACCGTTAGGACTAGCAGCAGATTAGAAGGCAAAATTCCTCCACAGTTGGTAAGTTTCACAGGAAGAACTATTATAACCTGTCTTACTCAATAGCAGAAATGGTAGGACCATATGCTAAGTAGCATAGATAAGGACAAACTGCAGAATTCTGTATAATGGAAAGGATTTAGCTTTGCCTTCCCCTGACCAAAGATTACAACCCTGTTTGCATACAGCGTCGAGTGATCTAAAATTGGAGAGAATGACAAAGAAGCCCTGTACTCAGAATTTAAAGTGATTTTGGTCTGGTCCTAGAGTCAGCTAAGGGTTTCTGATGGATGATGGGTAGAACAGCACCTCATTCTCCACAGCCTTGGTGCAGGCGAGGAAGCAGAGGATGCGCAACGCCTCACAGAACCTGTGCACTGTCTAAACATACTGTCTCCTTCTCTGTGCTCTTGTATCACAAAACATTAAGACATCACCATTGCTGGAGCGCAACGACTTACCTGGCCACTGACCACTGATAAATCATAGCCACTTTAACACTGAAATTATCTGGGCAAACTGTGAAGTAGTAAAAATACATGTTTCAGACGTTCTAAAGTTTGAGGTCATAAAATAGAAGTTGCTTTTAATAAATATTATTTTTCTTTCAATCTAAAACACTCATGGTGAGCCAGCCCATGTTCATGGATAGATGGTCAGCCCAGTTCTCAGCAATTTGATGATCTACAAATGCAATGCAGTCCCAACAAAATCCCAGTAGCATCTTTTAAAAACTGACAAACTTATCATGGACTCGAATGTATACGGGGAAGCAAAAGCCTTAGGACAGCCACAGAAGAAGAATCAAGGTGGAAGACTCAACTTTAAGAATCACAAAGCTACAAGACTCAGGACAGTATGGTGCTGACTGGAAGCCCAGAACCCGACCCGACTGAACTCTGAGGAGGAAAGGAATAAAGGCAATACAGCAGAGAAAGGAGCATTTTAAAGGAGCCACGTGCTGCAATATTTGCATACTTGCTTAACTGTAAAACAAAAGCACACAGATTAGATCATATAGAATTCACAAAAACTAGTTCCAAGTGGTTCATAGACTTCTATGTAAAATGGAAAACTATGAAACTTCTAGAAGATAATAGAAAAACTAGACATGAACTTAATTGTGCATACACACACCCCGCCCTGCTCCACTACTAAGATGAAGCCTATGGCCTTGTGCATGCCAACTTCCCCGCCTGGGTGCACTTAAGTTTTAGGTAGAATACCAAAGGCATATTCATGAAATAACTGTTAGAAAACTGAGATTAATAAGCTGCTCCGTGAAAGATCCTGTGAGAAGAACAAGAAGACAAACCACAGGATGGGAAGAAAGATTTGTAAACCATAGTAACACAGGACTGTCACCAAAGATTAAAAGCCAACGGCTGGGAAACAAATGGGCCGACTTGTGCCACGGAAACAAATGGGCCGACTGTGGCACAGAAAACAAGCATATGACAATGCATTCAATGTGGAACACTGAGAAACTTACGCCTAAAACCAGACCCTATGATACAGCTTTTGGAATGGTCAAAATCTAAGGCACTGACATTAAATGTGGTAGAGACACTGAGCAACAGGACTCTTCACTGGATGCTGGAGGAAGGTGAAACGGCACAGCGGGAAGGTTTCTGAAATCAAGCATGCTCTTGCCATAGGATTCTGTGGTCTCACCCTTTAATACCTGAGTAGTGAAGCTTGTGCCTTAACAAAAACTGCATGTGGACTTTTGTTTGTAGCTACTTTATTCACAGTTGCCAAAACTTGGCAACAACCAAGATGCCACTGAGTAGGCAAATGCCTAAATAAGCTTGGTCCATCCAGACACACTGGAAAGAAACGAGCTATCCAGGTAGAAGAAGGCACAGGGCCAAGTGAAGCTGCCAGTTTCTGTCTCAGAAACATTAAGACCAGCAGCTGATAAAGATCAGGTGGCTGAGATGGATGCTCAGGGAAGCACAGAGGATGTTCAAGGAGGGACGACATCCTGAATGCCAGGGGAGCAGTGGACAACGTGGATTAGACTGAGTATTCACCAGTAGGAGTTAGGCAGGAAAGCACTGTACAGACTCAGACGGATGATGGCTACTCTGGTGTTTTCTGAGCTCCTGCCTTAGAACTGAAAGTTTAGAGACTTTCCTTATACCAGTTTCATGACCTCAAGGGAAATTCACACTACTGAATCCACCTAAAATTTTGGAGTGAAGAATCGGATGTGGATTGACCCACCTTGAAAAATATGAAAAAGTTAAACACACACAAGATCACACACAGATGCAGAGTCCCCCTTTCTCCACACACGAATGAAAAGCCACAGGAAAGCTGCCCCCTTCCCTGTGGAGCCTCCTCCACCACTCAGAAACTGCAGTGAGGTTTCACATGTATAGACTTTTCCTCACCTGATTAACAGATAAAAATGACAGGTATTTCTGGGCAGTAGGCATAGCAGAATAAGCAGAAGCAAATACAGGTTCCTAGAGGGCAAAGCAGGAGGATTAGCAGTAAACTGGAAGGTGGACCCGAGTGTGGGAGGAGAGTGAGCTGGGGAGAAGAGACACAAACAGCAAATTGTCTAACAGCTAATTTTCTCATTGCAATTCTGGTTCACGCTAAGAACACCCTTCCTTCAGGTGTCAGTGCTGACCGGCAAACATCCCACACAGCCCAGCCCATGCACCCGAGTCAGGATTGGGCAGTAATTGAATACATTAAATGCAGATTACTGCAATATACGTATATATGTATATTTAGTTCGAGAGGAGGTCTGGGCCTTTTGTCAACAGTTTAAATATATTTATGTATTAACTATTAAACCATTTAATACATAAATGATTGCTTTCTTTATGGCATTTTCATAATATGACTTAAGAACAGTTTAAGGACACAGGATCAGCTTCCAGACCGGATGAGAGCTGAATGCTGGCTGCCTAGGAATACAAAACAAAAACCAAACCAAACCAAAACAAAACAAAATAAAAAACCAACAGAGAAGGCATGAGCATCATAGGCACTATGACACTAGAAGACACATGAGCCGCCATAAGGACAGTCGACTAAGCTTGGGTGAGCAGAGCGAGCCTCTGCCCCTCTAAGCAAATGTGATGCATTGCTCCTTCAAAGCTGGGTTGTTCTCATTTTCAGGTAAGGTTTCCAGAGAACTTCACAAGGAGCCAGACAAAATTGTAGTCACTGTAACACTGCCCGATGCACTTACCTGAGATGTTCCCATGCCGTTAGAAACAAAACAAACAAACAAAAAACCCTGAAGCATAAACATGCTCAGGATGCTCAGGAATGTGTCAGCCTCCCTCTAAATGAGACAAGTTTTTTTCCTATACGATACAGACACACAAATACACATAGCATACATATAAATATTTGAGTTTTCCCAATAAAAATCCCAGGCTTTCCTTTTTCCATGATTCTGATGGATCTATGTAGTGGTCTTGAGGTAGAACCCTCTCTCTTTGCTCTTCTGCATCCAGGCTGTGTACCTAAGCTTTGCCCCCACTCAGGGAACCCACCGTGTTACAGAAGACACCTGCGTTAGAATCAGGCTTACCCAAAGCAGATTAGAAATGGCATTATCATCTGTAAATCCTCCTTCTTCCTACAGGTTAAAACAAACAGGAGACATTGGAGAGGACCGGGTGTCACCATCACTCTGTGCCTGGGTTCAGACAGCCAAAAGCATGCACATGCTCACAGTCCAGTGTGAAAAGCAGCAAGCAGTCTCATTCCTCAGGGCAGGATGGCACCCATGAGCAGGCAACAGCCAATGGCTTGCTCTCCCTGTTGGTCCCCCATCAATGTGCTTTCTCCTCAGCTATGGCAGACAATACTGGCGTGAAGGTGACAGAGGTTCCCTCCTTTAATTTCCAGTAGCATTTTGGTGATACCTGAGATCTGAACCTTACCTGACCTCACCAGAAGCAGAAGCAGAAAGAGTGATCTCCCCATCTGGGACTCACACAGATAGATACTGTTTTAACAGCCAGATCTACAATGGGCTTTTATTTCATGGAGAAAGCCCCAGACACTGGATGACTGTCTTCAAAGGGACACGGGAGCCACCTTATATGCTGCAACGTTTACTGGGCCCAAGTAGGGCTGGGATTAGTTAGCTGGTGAAAATAGAGATCTAGAATTTGCTGGAAAGAAGATACCTGGAAGGTCACTTTTTTTTTTCTTTCTGTTTTTTGTTGTTTTGAAACAAGGTTTCTCAGTAGCTTTAGAGACTGTCTTGGAACTGAATCTTGTAGACCAGGCTGGCTCAAACTCACAGAGGTTCATCTATCTGTCTACCAAGTACTGGGGTTAAAAATGTGCGCAACCACCACCCGGCTTGAAAGAACACTTCTTTAAGACCTTGTTTTGTTTTCCTTTCTCTTGATGAACATGGAAACAAAGCCTGCTCAAGTGCACATGTCCCTCGAAGTGTAAAACTAGTCCGTGCCACCACCTTGTGGCTTTCGGATCTTTATCACCAGGTCATGTGCCATATTTAGGAGCCCAGATGTTTATTCACGCTTCCTGACTTGCTCTAACTCAAGTCCAGGAGACAGGCATGGAGGGTGCGGGGTGAGAGAGGAGGAAAAGGAAGGGATCTGAGTGATTTTCATGGGAAGTGAGGGTAGCGGGGGATAATCAGAGCTCCGAAGAGTCAATTCATTAATCTTGATATTTGAAGAATATAATTAGAAAGCGAACAAATGCTCCATGGGGCTGAAATCTGAGAACAAAAGGTCTTTTAAATTTTATTTTCTTCAAACTATTCATGATCCAAATAAGACCATCTTATCTTATAGGACCCCAAATAAGACATGGGTGTGAGCACCCCAATTTCTTTTCTTTGGAGACAACTCCTTTGACAGAGAAAATGGTTATAGATTTTTCAAGGCATTTATTTATTTATTTATTTTGTTGTTGTTGTTGCTTTGAAATAGGGACCATTCTATAGCCTGGGCTGGTCTGAAAATCACTACGTAGCCTAGGCTGGCCTTGAATACACAGCAATTGCCCATCTCTGTCTCCTCAGTACTAGAATTATAAGTGTCTGCCACTATGCCAATCCCATCCCCTAGTGACTTTTTTAAAAATAATTTCATCTTTTTTTGTGTATATGGATATTTTGGCTGCACATATATCTGTGCACCGAGAATATGCCTGGTACCCTCAGAAGCCAGGAGAGGGTATCAGAGTTTCAGAGAGTTGTGAACCCTCATGCGGGTGTGCTGGGAATTGAGTCTGGAGTCTCTGGAAGAGCAGCCAGTGTCCTTAACCAATGAGCCATCACCCCAGCCTTGCGAGTGCTGTTTCTTACAAGATCCTCAAAGTTTTAAATTATCAATATGACATTAATAGAAATAGGAATTTATTTTGTTTGTGTGTAGTGTGTGTCCATGTGTGTCCATGTGTGTCCATGTGTGTCCATGTGGAGGTTAGAGGTTAATGTTGGGTGTCTCCAGTGCTTTCCACCTTTTATTTTGAGGCTGTGTCAGTCACTGAACCTGATTCTTGACGATGACCAGCAAGTGCGATGGGGTGGCAAGCACTCACCAGACCTGGCTTCTACGTGAGTGCCGTGGTTCCATAATCAGGTCCTCATGCTTACATGACAATTTTTTTTTTTCTGAAACAACGCCTTTCTCTGTACCCATGGCTGGCCTAAAACTATGTTGCCTTGGTTAGTCTTGAACTCATCCCAGCCTCTAAAGTGGAAGGGCTGGGACTGCAGGTATGTGTCACCATGCTGGCCTATTCTTCCATGACAAGCTTCCTGCCCAGGAATGCATGGATCTTCATGGGAGAGATGGGCATGACTTACTGAGACCTCCCTCCCTCACATTTGCCTCTTCTATGTCCCCACAGCTGCACCCTGTGTCTGTGTACCAAATATGATGACCTAGACAATGTTTGTTAACACAAATGTATGATATTTGAAGGATTCAGAAGCTGGGGTGTGAGTGACCATAAAACCAGCTGTTTAGTGCCTGGCTGTAAACATGGATGGTGGTACCTGCCCTCGGGCAGTCAACCATGGGCAAGCCTCATCTAACTGAAGCAACAGCTCTTGTCTGTATGCGCATGCCACCAATGTCTTCTTCCCTTCTCCAGGGTGCCATTCAGACAGGCCCTTGGAGTGACCTTCTAAGCATGCCTAGAAGAAACCCCAGATTTAAGGCACTCTGCCTACCTCATATGAGCACAGTGAAATAGCGGACTTAAGTAGACCGTCAGCTCGTGGGAGGAATCGCAGGCCATCAGAGGCAGCTGAAAGTCACTTGACATCAACAGTACCTGAGATTTCCCCACATGAGGGACAAGAGTCTGAAATAGACCGGCTTATTTTAACTTCAAAGAGCTTATTGTCTCGGCCAGGGTGAACTAGGCCACTGGAGAGCCCAGGGACGGTGAGTTCACCATGGCTGCAGAAGCAGAAGCCGAGGGAGAGCAGGTGGCTCTGCACTTGCAGTGGCCATGCCTAGAGCCCTGGTCTCTCCAGCACCAGGTTTTCTACTCTAAGAGTGAATGCAGGGGTAGCCCAAGTCTCGCCTGTAAGAACACTAGCCGAGTGCCTGGGCAGCCCAGACCCATCTTCTACCCACGTGACGTGTTCTGGAAAGAACACGCGCCCTCACTCTCCTGATGCTCTCTGACCGTCCATGGGGAGTCCATCACTTCCGGCCTGGGTGTTGTTTCCCCCTAACTGTGGGTGCAAACTTCAGAATGGCTGCACTGGGAAGTGACATCATGTACAGCTAATAGCTTCAGGTGTATGCTGAAGTCATTTTGGACCAATTGTTTCAAGATTCTCTTTTTGTGGCATTTGGGGAGAACACAGGACCTAGTACATACTAGGCCAAGCACTTGCCCACTGAGCTACAACATCCCGACCCTAAGATTCTTTTAAATAAAGTTTTGGGCAGGGAATAAATTATTTGAGGGATCTGTTTTTTTTAACCTTAGAATCTCAATTTTACACATATATTTAGTGTCTAGGTATAGTTAAAACCATTATAAATGGCTGAGAATGAAAAGCTATTTTGGGATCATCTTCAACACCAAATATGCCTCACGCTAAATAATTCAAATGTATTTTACACCTGAGCACACACATGGCTAGGAACTAAACGTCCTCAGTCATTATCTTTAACAATGTATACACCATTCCAGTGACACCCGTGTGGACACAGCAGTACTGTGTTGTATGTTCTGGGACCCTCACCTTATGTCCTATGTGCACATTCATTTTCATGTATGTTTTTAATATGAAAAGGTTACATTCAGAATTTTTCTCTCTGCTATGCTGCTTTTTGTTTATTTGAATTTGTAAACTGGGTTTTCACTATGTCGCCCCGGCTCATGTCAAGTTTCTGGAGCCCATGTGATTCATCTGACTCGACCTCTGAAATCACTGCGCAGGCACGAGTCAGCACATCTGGCTTCAGACAGCTCCTTTGAAAGCCCCTGAGATCCACTAGTTGAACCTTTATATGCGCCTGTGTGGGTTAGAAGATTCTAGAAGTTGGATAGTTGGGCGTGGCTCAGTGTGCCATTCTGCCTCAGCCAGCAAGCACACTTGTATTTGCATAGTCAGTGGGCAAAGACATCATGGCCAAGGCTGATGATCACTACATTTGTGATTCAAAAGTCATTGATATTCCCACATAGGAAATGCTTGCAAATGCAAATTAATTTAATTGAAATTCATATATAGGTCCTCAATAAAAGTCATACTTCATCATCATGAAACAGACTCGATTAGGCAGAAAGTCCTATGGACCACAATTAGGCCCTTAGTTTTGAGAAGTAAGTCTTAAATCTCTGCACAAGAAATTTAAGTGCATGTTTGATATGTGACTTAGAAACTGTGGCAAGCTGTTGTCTCACTTGAAAGACTTTGATCACGTTCTAACACAGACTTCACTTAAGCTGTAACTGTGAACACAATTGGAAACTGAGGCACTTGACCTCAAGCCTTGATTTCATGCCCAGCCAGCTTTAGCCGCTTTGTGAGAAACTGTGCCTCCTGAGTGCAAGGAAGTGCCAGTGTTCTATAGCAGGGGGTGTTAGGCCACACATACTTGTTCCCGAGACACACAGTGTGGTCTTAGTGCGGTGGACACAGTACCTTCTTCAGGGACTGCTCCACCTCCTGGATGTGCAGGCCGCTGGTGGCTTTGCCGTATTCCTGCTTCCGGATCAGTCTGTTCTTCCAGTCTTCCTCACCGCTCTTCTTCAACAGCGCCAGCCTGGGAGGAAGACACAGCAATGGAGAATCCAGCACCGCATGCTTAGATCCACAAGAACCTCTTTTCCCAGACAGCCCCAAAGATGGTTTAGTTGATGGGAAAGAAAAACTTAAAACCGACTTGTCCGATAGAAGATGCTCTATCTTCTTAGTAAGGGAAGCCACAACTCTGCTTTCCTCTCGCTCTGGGGCTGGGAGCTAGGGAAGAGAGAAAAGGAACCCCAGCAAAATGTCTTCTAGTGACCCCTTCTGGCCACTAGGTGAAATAACACCTGAAGATGCAAGCTGCAGTTCTTTGCAGAAAACGCTGCTGAAAAAGGCTTAAAAATACAAATAGGCTTTGTGCAATAGTAGAGGTAATTTCCAACAAAGTAAATTATGCTTGTGTATGGAAATTTCATAATAAAACCCTGTACAATAAATATGCACTAATGAATACAGAAAGATATGGCATCTTGTTGTCATACCTCAACTAAAGACAAACTATGCTACTGTTCTCTTCTGTTCTCAGCCCTGGTATTCCCCCATAGACTAGCCCTGTCTTTACAGTGTATTCTTACAAAAAATCTTCGTCCTAAAGACCCATTTAAAATTATTAGTTCAATTTTCTCCAAGGGGAAAATATACCAAAAAAGGAATCTCATTACAAGGACTGTTACTAACACACGTTAGCTCAGGCACTGCAGGATTCCATCGAAAGCCACTTGCACATTTGGGTCTCTCTGAAAAGCCGTTTTCCAGAACAAGGGGCTATTTCAGACAGCTCTGCTATCACGGAGGAAAGCATCTCAGTCATCTAAGTCCAATAGAGTGGGACAGACAAAAGGGCAAATGGGACCCGGGACGCAGGCATGTTGTTTTCCTTGCCTTGTTTGTCATGCATGAACTGGACATGGGATTCTCAAAGGCCCCAAGTGCTAGATTTCCTTATCTATTCAATATCTTTATTGGAGGTGGGGGGACTTACACTCTAATAAAAACGTATTCACTCATTTGCTGGTGGTTCTTGGATAGAAGCCAGGGCTTGTTCTTGCTAGGCAAGTGCTCTACTACAGAACCGCATAAAAAAAGAGTTTTTGCTAAGCAAATAAGGAAGCAAATCTATAGTAAACAAGAATCCATTATATTTACAAATGTATGCATAATCCTCTTTTATAGTTTCTGTCCCTCTATCAAATAATGTAAATGAGCTCCGAAGAACTTCCTAAGGGATACAGAACTTTGAACTTTGGGTCTAGCCACTCTTCAACTGCTTCCTTCTTCCTAATCTCTTTCTTATGTGGCAGCAGATAAGACCACAAAAGGACCCGTTCTATAAACTCCTCTGAGTTGTCTTACAGATCTACTGCAGGCTCATGCAGCTTCTATAGTTCTATAACATTAGCATGGTGACTCATGTATTAGAACATAGGCTCTGAATTCCTTCATATATTCTCACTTCAGGTCATAGTTATGACTATTCTTTGTCCTGCACCAATTACTCTAAATGTGCCCATTTTATCGCTGTAAGAAAGTCAAACTAGTAGAAAGAAACAACCATGACTGTGAGCTCCAAAAGCACTGGAAAACAAGGCCTCCAGCTGGTGAGCATGCCAGGCCTTCGCCACCCCAAAGAGGGGGTACGTCCAAGCTATCGCCTGGAGGAGGCATCCACACTGTCACTCACCCCAGAATCAGCTACTCTCTTGCTTGACTTCTGACTCAGAGCAGGCATTTTTGCTGTCATCTCAATCAGATTGGAATCCAAATAGAGAACAAACCCCCGACCTCAGAATGGAGACTGTTAAAAAATGATGTAGCCAACAAGCAGCTTCTCAACAAACTGGGGTTTCCCTGGGGCTGCTCTGAGGGGCATGAGACTAACTCAGAAAAAGCGAGCTGCGGAAAATGAACTCACTCAGTCCCCTTCCTTATGCGCCTCTGATGTGCACAGGCATCTTCCCAGGTCAAGGCTCCTCTGAGCGAGGGCCTCCTACATGTGGGTGGGAGAGGAGGCGTGATTCTAAATCCTGCCTCTCGAAGTCCCAGTTGTTCCCTTCCATGACAAGTCGGTCTGAGCAGACACAATGCCTGTCTCTGTCAGCAAGAGCAGAGTCTTCCGATTTCCTTGTGATGTTCTCCCAGTCCTTTGTAGACTGATTTCCACAGAACTATTCCATTCTAAAGCCCTGCAAATCGCTAACAAAGACTCCAGAGTAACCAAAATAACATGGCAGAAAGTGCTTCAGTTGAGCCCACGTGGTACTTGGCCCAGTCCTCAATCCCACAGTTCCAGAGATGAATAACTTTATAATAACACACAGTGAATCTGAGTGCATTATTCCGTCCCTTCTGATTTCCTGTTTGCTGTTCCACAAGCTGTGGAGGGTGGCGGACTTTCCAGTCTTGTTCTCCACTCTGGCAATCTCACAGTCCTTCATCACCATGCAGAGGGCTAAGGTCTGGGTCGACACATGACATAAATCCCCCCTGTGCAGTGCCAACAATTGTCGGCGCTTTTAACATCTGCCAAGTCTGAGGGCTATTTGTGGGCTGTGATGTGGAGTGTTGGGGCATCTGCTTTGTCTGAGGCTCCTTACCCAGTGAGTGGCATAGTATCAGCTGCTAACACACTGGCCTGGCCTGGGGCCAACGGGACATGTGCTTACCAGGCCACTATGGGAGTGTCTATGGCTCTTTCCACAGCCCATTCTCTTCAGCAAGAATTCTGGCTTGAGAGCTTCCTGATGAGGACAAGTTTTTCCAGCCTCAAAGCAGGGATGGGTCAGGGAAGGGACAGGCAGACCACGTGCCTCTAATGCCAACTAAGGTTTTTGTATTTCCTCTTTAGACATTTCCCCTTCTTTCAGAGAAAGAGGCACCCACGGACTTATGCTGAACTGAGCAGCACTGAAGAGTAATTGCATCAGATTCTGATCGTAGCCAATGAGGAACTTAGAAGAGTTATTAATAATAAGCTTTGTGTCTGCATTTGGTTTTTATTTGGCACTAAGATGCCAGGATCTTGTACAGCCAGGCAAGAGCTCCACATGGAGCCCTGGTCCACCCCCTTGTTATGCTTTCTTTTTCTTTTCTTCTCTCTCTCCCTCTCTCCCCTTCTTATGTTATGTAGTATATGCGGGTGAAACCAGGGTCTGCCTGCCTTGTTTCACATGTAAGCATGGGGCGGGGGGTGGTGGCACAGATGTGTGTGCCTATGCCCAGCTTCTATGTTCATGCCAGGGATTCAAATTCAGTTCATTGGGCTTGAGTAGCAAGCCCTGTGCCTAGTGACCCAACTTCTCTGGTGCTGAAGGCTGGGGCTGGAGCCTTGTAAGTGCTAAGCATTTACTCTACAAAGAGCCAGACCTCCAGCCTTTTTTATCTATTAAGTAAAAGGCTGCCATGGTTTGAGTACAGTATGCCTCTTCTGTCATTACGGCAGTATCCTGAACAGACCTTTGGGGGTGAAGAGATACTTAAAGGGGATTAATGCCCTTTTCCTGGGAGTGATTTATGCTCTGGACTTTGGATTAATAATGAGTGAGCTGCCTGCAAAAGCATGGCTCTTTGTCACTCTCTGCAAAGGTGTTTCCCCTCTGTGAGGTATAGATATGACGCGTCTTTCAAAAGGCCCATTAACTGCTGGAGTCAATCCTTGAGGGCTGGCAGGACCACTAGGGGTCAGCTTCCCTCAGTGGATTGTATTAATCAGGATTTACTGACATTTTGGGGGGTGGTAGAAATTTCTAGATGTGGGGCATCTAGTGGGAGAAGGCAGCCCCTGCCTGTTGGCTGTCTGCCTCTTGGGTGCCCAGGGGCATCAGAAGAGGTCTTTGAGACAGATTCTCCTTCAAGCCAGGCTTCCCAGGTAGTTGTCACAGAGAAGAAAGGTCTGACGAACTTAGCGCGACTTCCCTTCATATTTTAACGTGTCACAAGGCCCTCTACCTGGTATGGCTGCCAATGTTAGTCTTTGATTTTCCAGAACTGTGAGCCAAAGTATATTCTTTTGCTTTTCAAATTATTCAACCCCAGATATTCCTTGCAGCATCAGAACTAAGAGGCCGAGTCAGAGACAGACAGAGGCCAGACCTTTCTCTATTTTTACAGTAATCGAAGGACTCACTGGGAGCTGAACTCTTCAGCTCAAAGCAAGAAGCCAGAGTTTTCTGGGGAGTCATGGACACAGGCTATGTGGGGTGCAGAGGAGCAATGGAGGGACATGTACACAGGGACCCAGCTAGCCCCTAAGGCAGATCTCTCTGTGTCTGCCTCTCCACCCCCTCGTGCCCTGGATTTTGCAGCCAATCCTTGCAGGAGTTGGCTGACTGAGTCTGCATAGGCCTCCCGTGGGGACAGGGGTCTGCTCCCCTCACAGTCACCTTCTCCCCAGAGTGAAAACACAAACGTGACAGTCAGTGATGATGTAAACACGGCTTCCAAGGCCTTCGCAGCTTTCAGCTCTAAATTATAGAATTATTTGGTTCACAATGCTCTTTCAAAAAGTTCCTAAGAAGGGGCAGTTTGATCTCAAATCATTTAGACAGTGATAAAATGGCAGCTTTTTCAATCCACTGGAAGACGCACCATAGTTTCATTCTGGCAATGCATCAAGCTGGACATTCTAAACTTTGTAGGTACTCTGCTGGTTGCCGTAAACATTCCAACAGAGGCGACCCAGGGAGGGTTTGTGTTGGCTAATGGTGTGGGACAGTGACAACCCAGCATGATGGGGAAGGTGTGCAGAGTTCACTGTGGCAGGAGTGTGTGACTGGGGTCCTCACATCTCAGCAGACCAGGACAGAGATGGAACAACATTCACAGCTGGACTATAACCCTCAAAGGCCCTTCCCTAATGGCTTACCCCAGTCAACCAAGCCTCTTGTTCCAAATGTTTGACAACTCCCACCAGCCACTAGCTGAGGATCAAGTGGCCATATAGAGGCACTTCAGATACAAACCCTAACATTTCATGTCAAAAAGATGAAGGAAGTTAAGGGACGTTAGTGTTTCCTCAAATAACAAACATATTCTTTTTTTTTTGGGGGGGGGGGGTTCAAGACAGGGTTTCTTTGTAGCTTTGAAGCCTGTCCTGGCACTAGCTTTTGTAGACCAGGCTGGCCTCAAACTCACAGAGATCTGCCTCCCAAGTGCTGGGATTAAAGGCGTGTACCACCACCACCACCCAGCCAAACATATTCTTTAAAACGAGAGCACGGGACTGGTAAGATGGCTCAGTGGGTAACGGTGCTTGCTGCCAAGCTTGACAACCCAAGTTTTATCCTTAGCACCAACTTGTGGAAGGAGAGAACCAACTCACCATGTTGTCCTCTGACCTCCCCACATTCACTGTGGCATATGTAGGTGCATTCTCTCTCTCTCTCTCTCACACACACACACACACACACACACACACAGTAAATGAAAACATTTTAAAAAGGAGTATATAAAGGTATTCTAAAACTTAATTTTCTGGTTATTACACGTTTGATTTAGTTTTACACTTTATTTCGTCTTACTATGCATCCTAGACTAGCCTCAGACTTCTGAGCACACAGGGTCTCTCTGCCTGTCTACTTAGGAGCAGGAACTAAGGTGCTAAGGGCATTTGGTAGCACTCAGAACAGAGAGCTTGATATGGCTAGAACTTAGTGTAGGAAAGCCCAGGTGGTCAGCCAAAGGCCACAGCTCATTGGAACTCATGACAAAGTCTGCGCTCCTATTACAGACGCAGGAATCTGAAGGTAAAAGAATAATTTGAAGCAAACCAAGTAAAGAATGTGTAAGCAGAAATGGGCTTAACCACACAGTGACTGCAAGTCCCAGGCTCTCGGAAGATGGCGTCAGGTGGCTTGCCTGCATCCAAGGACTGTGACCCTGCCAGGTACAGCGAGCACACAGTGCCAAGGGTGCTGGAACTAAGTTCTTCCTGTGGGAAATCGAGGCAGTCATAATAGCTGGACTAAGTGAGCTTTACAGACCTATTATTTTATATGTTACCCCAGAAACAAAAGCAATGTCCAAATAAATGTTTGAACAGCACCTCCATTCTCAATAGGTCAAACTTCGCATTTAACAAAGGATTGGAGGATGCCACTCAGGGGACCTTCTCAAGCGAATGGTAAAGACAGACACATGGGTATGTTCAGTGAAGTTCACACAAAGGTACCATCAAGGCCCAGGGAAGTAATGGATGAGATATTTCTCATCGATATAGTTGATGATAGCAAACATAATTGCTAAATAAATGGACCCTGACCTTTGAAAAAGCAGACGTTAACAATGAAATGGAGTATCTGAATATTTAGCAAGCATTTCTGACAGGATTCTAAACAGACTGAGAGATTTTGGCTCTAGCTAGGCAACAGGTGCACCTGTGCTATCTATCCCCCATATGTGGACTCACTTCTAGACAGTTGACAGAAGCCTCCGCCATCTTTTAACTTCAGTACAAAGCCTGGTTAAGAAGCCGTGCTCCACAGTAGCTCAGTTTAAATAGAATACTTTCCCCTCAGGGTAAGACTCACAGAGAGAGACAGATTAAGCAGAATCGGCTGAAAATAAGCAGCTGAACCAAGAAACCTCACAGCTACTGTCTAATATAAAATGTCAGGGCTGGAGTTGCAGTTCATTGGTAACGTGCTTGCCTAGCAAGTGCCAGACTCTGGGTGAGATCACCTGCATGGGAGGGAGGGAAGGAAGGAGGAGGGAATGAGAGAGTGTGGGGAGGAAGGAAGGGGAGGAGGGAAGAGGAAGAAAAAGGATAGGAAAGAGGAAGGATGCAGAGGAGGGAGGAGGGGGAGGAAGGATGAAGAAGGATAGGGAGGAGGAAGGATGGGGAGGAGGGAAAGAGGAGGAAGGAGAGGAGGGAAGGGAAAAAGGATGTAGGGGAAAGGGGGGAGGGGGAGAGGGAAACAAGAAAGGGGGAGTGAGGAAGTTAGGAAGGAAGGAAGGAAGGAAGGAAGGAAGGAAGGAAGGAAGGAAGGAAGGAAGGAAGGAAAGGAAGGAAGGAAAAAAGGAAGGAAGGAATGAAAGAAGGAAAGTTTCTAAATGGTCAAATCAATCTTCTATTCAGTTTTGGCTGGTGAAATGGCTAAACAGGTAAAGGCATCTGGCATCAAGACCAACAACCTGAGTTCAATCCCAAGACCCACATAATGAAAGGAAAGAAGTGATTTCTGCAAGATATCTACTGACCTTCACACATGTTCTGTGGCACACGTGTAAGCACGCACACACACAAATAAGTAAACGTAATAAAATTTTAGAAAAACGTAATTCATCTTATTTTCTATAAAACACACCAAACTTAAATTCTAATCTCAAAGACAAAGATCGTCTATGTGAATTTATCTATCTTCATCCAATATTTATTTAACCCAGACCACCAGTGGATCACCGGACTCGCAGGGTGAATCACATGTTTCTATAGGAGAAAGAGGCACTATCTCAGCTTCCTGGAGAACTGGATATGAAATAAGAAACAGAGACCACAGAGAAATGAGGTGTCCCTGTTCGTTCTGCCCTGAGTCTGAACTGGGCACCTCTCAAACTTGCTAAATTAGGTGCAGCTCATATGTCTCGGCTTCCCTGGTTATTCCAGCTTCCCTGTGTAGCCTGGCAAGGCAAGTGCACATCCCTCTCCAATACTGCCTGTCAATCATCAGACGGGCTTACCTACCTTTCTTTAATTGACATAGTTTTGCTGGGCGAATCCAGAAGAGTCTCTCCCACTGGCACTTTGACCTCTCCAGCAGCAAACATGGCACAGGGGTTCTTGAAGAGTTTCTCTGCTAGCTGCTCAGAGGAGTCCTGCTGCTTCCAGGACAGTGGGGTTGTCTTCTGAATATAGGTAGCCGGCTCTGTTTGTTCAGAAGTAGGTTCTCCAAACTCTGTTGCTGGAGAGAAGGAGAGCAGGGTCAGCATCACCCCTAGCAAGCATCTCTCCAGATGTTCACAGCCCCCCAGTGCAGTGCACAAGTGAGTATCACTCCCAGCAAGCATCTCTCCAGATGTTCACAGCCCCACAGTGCAGTGCCCCAGTCAGCATTGCTCCCAGCAAGCATCTTTCCAGATGTTCACAGCCCCACAGTGCAGTGCTCCAATCAGCACAACCCCCAGCAAGCATCTCTCCAGATGTTCACAGCCCCCCAGTGCAGTGCACAAGTGAGCATCACTCCCAGCAAGCATCTCTCCAGATGTTCACATCCCCACAGTGCAGCACATAAGTCAGCATCACTCCTAGCAAACATCTCTCTAGATGTTCACGGCCCCACAGTGCAGTGCCCCAGTCAGCATCACTTCCAGCAAGCATCTCTCCAGATGTTCAGTCCCACAGTGCAGCACACAAGTGAGCATCATCCCCCAGCAAGCATCTCTCTAGATGTTCACAGCCCCACAGTGCAGCATCCGAGTCAGGTTGTAGGTGCATGGCAAGTTACCCAGGCCACTGGGGTTGATGTGGAACCGTAGCACACACCGAAAGAAACAGCTAACCTGTGCCTGCTGTGTTGCACAATGGAATTGCCCTCTCTTAGACTGCACTCACAAACCTAGCCCATCTTGGCATGCATGCTATCGGGGTGTGTGAATGGAAGCTGCCCGGTCTCCTCTGTAGACAGCACACTAATCTGTATGGTCAGAATGCATGCAGAGTCTAAAAGCACACCAGTTCAAGTCTGTCTCCCTGTGCTGACAGGGTGCAGGACTCTTAATAAAAGAGGCCAACACGGCTAAGGAGCTCAGAAGTCTACTGTGTGAGTTAATGTCACCGAAGTTACCTGAAACCCTTATCAAGGGCTGTTAAGAATCGCAGCCATTTTGCTGCTGTAGACCAGTTCACTGACCGTGTCAGATTCAAGGGGAAGAGAGGTCTGGGGAAAGGAGTATGACTCACTGAACTCGATCCATCCTAGTGATAAACTGCTCTAGATGTAAGGACCAGGAACCAGCAGAGCATGCATGGCAAGCCTAGAAAGCGGAGCCGCAGGAGCTTACCTTTGAGGGAGAACTTTCTCGTGGCATTTCCCACATCTGCATTCTCCTCGGAGGTCTGCTTGTCCTTCAGGTCCAGATTCTCTTGCAAACTGATTTTAGCAACAGAAAATTCCTTCAACTCATCACCAAGGTGGGTGACAGGAGGATTACCTAACTCTAAGCTCCCCCTCCTTAGAATGGCATGTTTAGCCTCCTTCTGGACATCACCATCTCTGACTCTGCCAAGGATGGGGTAGGAGGGCTGCGCTTCCTCCTCGAAGGCTCTGTGTGTCTGAATGCCACTGTCTACGCCAGTCAGAGTGTTCTTGCTTTCTGTCTCTCCAGACTCCCCCAGCATTCCTTTGCACCCACTGTGCTCTGCCAGAGGCCGCCAGCCTTGTGGTTTCAGAATGCCTCTAACTGGAGAGTCTGAATTTTCCACAGGAGAAGGAAACTGGGAGTCAGTGGTACTTGCACCGCCGTCAACAGATGGCTTCGTCCGAAGGTCCCCTGCGTATGTGGGAGCAACTGCAGAGGCCATGGTAGAAACAGATGTGCTCACAGTGGGGGAGAAAGGGACGAGCTTCGCACTCTGCACCTGGGAGGACACAGTTTAAGGACATTGTCATCCGAGGGGACTGGATGGGCATAATACACCTCAGCAGTGGCTTATCTTACTGGAAAACCAGCCTGCAAGGTTATACACACAGAATACATTACAAACAAGCCCTCTAGGGAAGCAGCATGTCTCTGCTATTATATCCTACCAAAATGGACTCCTTCCAAACAAATTATGAAAACAACAGAAGAAAAGCAAACTTGGGTATGGTTCTTCCACAGGGATGAGAAGACAACACCACGTTCAAATGCACCTGTTGACCCTGTCCTGTGGCGACACACCCACACACACCCCTACACTGGACTCAGACCTCACACACTCACCTGCTCCACCTCTCCGAGTGTGACTGGCTGAGTCTGATACCTCGCGTTCATCCTTCTCTGCCGCACATCTATTCTGTTTCTGGTGGAAATGGCTTTGGAGACTGGCTGGGACAATTTGTTAAACAAGGCCAATTTCTCTGCTAAGCTCAGAGAGGAGGAATCAGGTTCGCCTGGTTCGGCAGACTCTCTGCCCTCATTTGCCTGGCCCCTGGCTAAAGCCTTTTGGTGAGCCGACGCCTGTAACCTAGAGGGAAGGACGGAAGAGTCAGTCACATAGAGAAAAACAAACAAAAGCCCACTACTAATTCATTTATTAAATGTCTTAAAAATGTCACTTATTTAGTAAAGGGCTGATTTTCCCTCACAGGTCTGGGAGAGGGACAGGCGACTGTGAGCAGGGTCAGCTTGGGACACCAGCACCATCATTTCTAAAACAGGCAGACATTTAGTTCTGAATCATTTCTATAAAGGACATTTCTTGTTGAAGGAACCAATGTCAGCCTGAATCTAGCTTCCTCCAGAGCAATCCCGGTTAGTTTCTCTCTCAGGGACAAAAGGTATAGGCAGAAATTACTGCTTGGGTCAAACATCTCTGTAGATACTGCTCAGAAGGTGGCATCTTTATTTTGAATGGCTAGGGAGAATATGTTCTCCCGACAATGACAGACTGCGAAGCAGGTTTTTGTTTGTCAAACATGTGGTCTTTAAATATACTTATCTCCCACGTAGCTACCCATTTTCAGAAGTTACTTACATCTAATTCCCAATAAGTTGAAATGTGAAGAAAATCCCCCAAATCTCAAGTGGGACTACAGAGGCATGGCCTGTTTAGCATGGGCAAAGCCCGGAGGCGCAGCCCCACATAACAACAACTGTAATAAAAATAGCTTCCACTGCTAGGGAGAGGAGGCTTCCAGGCCAGGAGGTCTGTGAGATTCTCAAACGGTCTCCAAGACAGTATTGCCCCTGCCTCTGGCAACACTTTGTTCTAGTGAGAAGGCCAATCAGCCTTTTCTCTCATTAATCACGGGTCAGGCAGTCCTAGACCAGAGGTCAGTGTCTGTGTCCAGACAGATCATGAGGGCAGTGGGGTGAGTGAGACCAACCACCTGGGGATTGGAACCTTCCAGGGGTCCGAGAGAACATACCAGGAGGGTCACGAAGTCTTTCCCAAGACAGTCCTAGTCTGGATTGGGCAGTTTACTCTAGCTCGGCCATTTTATACCTCTGACTCCAGTTGTAGCTTGCGTGCTTTGTCTCGTCACAGTTAAGACAAAGGGGATGGTTATATGGTTTAAGAACATAATTTCAAAACACCACAATCTAAAACTGAACCCTGTTACATCTATAACCAATTCTAAAACCTAATGGCACTGCCTTTCCTCTCTTCAAGTTAGAAAGCAGGACTATTTGATTTTAGTATGGATTTGTATGTATACGTATTTAAAAATAACTCATTTCAATATTCACATTAATGTTCCATTTTTAAATTAGTCTTTACCCGTTAGTATTTTAGAAGAAAAATAAAGTTTTTTTTGTGTTAAAAAAAAAGTATAAGTGAGTTAGTGTGAGCCTAACACCAACACAGGAAACAGGCAGACAAACAACACATTTCTCACACAGCCGTGAAATTAACGGTACCTCGCACTATGGCAGGACAAAACACCAAACATTTCAGGGACACTCACTGCACTGATTTGTTTGTCAAACAAATGAAAGGCATTCAAGGCTTCCAGATGCATCTGCTGCCCAGCACCTTGGCACTGGGTGCTACATGCAGCAATGTGTGTCCGGTACCTGGCAGGCTGCACAGTGCTTCTAGCTACAGTGGGGCTAGGAAGTCTCGCCATTACAGGGTGGGTGACCCCAGAACACGAAGCAGGGATAGGTTCACTTTAAAAGCAATGGCCAAAGGAGGAGCATTCATGAGGAGAGAGAAGAAAAGAAGCATTAAGGAAGGCATAGCTGTAAATCCAGAAACGCAAAAACCAAATATTTTACCAAAAATATTTGCTAAACACTTTGAGGGAAAACAGATCACAAAAGAACTTGGAAAGCAATACAGATGGAAGGACAGAGGCAGGGGCTGTCCAGAGTAAGTGGGACAAGCAGAGGCGTAAGCTTGAAAAAGAGTCAGCTTAGAACAAAAAGCCTCATTTTTGAGAAGTCATTTAAAAAGCTAGCGTCAACCATAGCCAGTCAGGAGATTCTTGCCACAGTTTAGAATCTTCTTCTCAGTGTAGCTTTTAGCAGCATCTGTGACTTCGTCAAGCAATAGCGTCATCAAAGTAGACCCACCGAGCCATACCCGCCGGTTATTTCCCCCTCCTTTGTTGTTTTGTTTCCATGGCTGTCTGTTTTACAGTGTCTACCAGCCAATCCAAGAAATTACTTTTCAAACAAATGGATATGCGAGGAGTGTCGGAAGTGCACAGAGGAGCTTGTCCATCAGCACACCAAAGAGACGAGACGCCTAGGGCCAGCTCAGTGGTAGAGCACTTGCCCACCATGCTCAGGGTATGTGGACCCCAGGACTGTGAGAATCGAACACTTGGAGAAGAAGAAGAAGATGGACAGCCTCACAGCACGTTCCAATAGCACGTCTTCAGACAGAGGACCTTTGGGTGGCAACACTGCACAGAAATGTTTTTTAAGAAGATAAATAGTCTCAGCTGACTGGAGCTGCTAACTTTGAGTGAACCAGTCAAGGCAATTACAGACTGCCCAAACACAGACCTCCTGTTGTTTGGACATTTTGGTGGTGATCATTTTGGTGGTGATTTAAAAACAAAACAAATGCTTATGTCTTAGAGGTAGGTGCTAAGATATTTAAGGCTGAAATGTCTGGGTGGGGGGGAGGCCGAAGATAAAGCATGCAGAGAAAAACTGCCTCAGAACTGAGGGTCAGGAAGCCAAGGCTCACTATAGTTCACCTCCTCTCATGTTTTTATTTTTGTGAAAGACAAAACACAATGACAAAATCACTTCAGGAGTAACTGTAGGACTTACAGCAGGTATATCCCATTACTGTCAAATAGCAGGAAAATCAAAACAAAAATCAGTACGAAGCATGTGCCTCTCTGTCTCCTGGTTAAACTGCCTCATTCGTATAGGAAACTCTCGACTCTCTCTTTAAAGATGACAGCATAGGTCAGGCTAAGGACTCCCCAGAGACGTACGTGGCTGCGATGACCACTTCCTCATTGGTGATGGGCTGGGTGTGAGAACGGTCCTGCAGGCGACGCAGCCTTTGCTCCACGGCTGCATTCCTGGAACGTCTCTTCGGGACGTTGTGTTCATCAAATGATTTCTCCATTTCCTGCAGTTAGAAAACATTGTAGGATCCCCATGAATTCGAAGAAAAGAAACTACTGGGGTAGCAGAGTGTCTGTCTGCTGCTCTTCTGAAGGAGCCACAGGAGGGGCACCAATGAGGGTCCCTGCCATAAGAAGTGAATGCTTCAGGCTGGAGCGGCTGGGTAAAAACCAGTCAAAGCAGATCCTGAAGCTTGATTCTAGACAGTCTGCATTAAAGGCTTGGCCCACAATTTAGTATTGGCAGAATATAAGAGGATCTGGGAGTGATGCCATCAACCCCCCCGCCCACACACATACACACAAAGATCCCAGAATTCTTTTCATTCCTGCCACCAGGTATGGAGCAGCTTCCCACCCGTCTGCTGCTGTCGGGAGCGCTACTCTATCACAGGCCCAAAGCAAGCAGGCCAGCTGTCACAGAGAACCTCTGAAGGCCTGTGCTGAGATAAACTTTTCTTTTTAAACAAAGAAATGTGATAGCTTTAGCTATTCTGTTACAATCAAGGGACACTGTCTAAGCCAGCCAGGAAGAGAAGAACAGGTACGGCCGGTGACCGGTGAGGAGAACATGGAAGTGTGTGGAGTACCACCAGACCCTGGGTGTCTTCCTCAGAAGCGGCTATGGTCTCTGAGCAAACCATTTGTCACACCTTACCCGGAAAAGCAACCTCTTGGCAGCGACACTCAGTTTGGCCCGCTCATCCACTTTTTCCTCATCTGTAAAATGTCACGAAAGAATCGCACATCACTAGAAAGCACAGGCTTCCTCTGAGAATGCTTCTCAAGGCTGACCTGCTATCCCTGAATCCAAGAGGAGGTGGACTCGCGTCATAAGCTCACGCTTTCTCATGGCAATTCTAACCCAACTGTGTCCAGACGGTGTGTTTATCATTACGGTCTAAGAGGAACACCGCCTTGGTGCAGATGGCAGCGGTCACCAGTAAAACCCACTTCTTTAGTCACAGCGGCCATTTCACAGTGCTCACCAAATGAGCCTCCTAGTTCCTATCAGACGCTAGAGGAAGGCTTATCAGAAACTGACAGCTAGGGTTAACAGCAAGGCAGTTTGGAAGGAAGACAGATAGGTTCCAGGTTTCATCTCCCGCATAGCCTCAAATCTTAGGTCTTAAATCTGATCTGGACAAGATGTGGAAGAATAAAAAGAAGAGAGATACTTGCCCTCAACCATTGACATCTCTGAACCGGAAGGGTACCTAGGAAAGACAGCAACAGATAGTGATGCTGATTAGTGGTGGACACACAAGCTACACATGAAACACAACGCAAGTGAGCTACTTAAAGACTTGGCTGACACTGTGGAGTTGTGCACACAACCCCAGCCTGGGGCACACCTTGTGAAGAGAGCAGTACATGGGGTTAAGGGCACATTTCCGGTGAACCTTATTATTGTATGATGCCATTTAAAATGTAAATATAAGAAGTAAGCTATTTAGAAGATGAATACAAAATTCCTTATGCTCAGTGGCGGATGCTCAGTTCAGATGCCAGTTTAATAAAAGAACGAAAAAAATCACTGGTGAAGAAAAATGTCTCTCCTCAGCTGATCTGCAGGTAGTTCAAAACTTTAGAGTTGTATGAGTTAGGAAAATCAATATTTTTGGAATATATTTCAATACATATAATAAGTGTCCTCTGGCTGAGATGGAATAATCCTAGAATCCTATAAAAATTGCATCAGGCCCGCCAGGGCAGCGAGAACCCGTGTTTGAATTGCTTGAAGTATACACACACATGCCTACCTATCTGTCTCCTTTCGCTCTGCTGAGGTTATAGGTTGAGTTCTAAATCTCTCAGAAGTTTTTCTACTTTCACCAGGAGAAAGATAGCGTCTTGGTTTCCGAGACCCTCTCTCCCGTTCAGTGGGCAAGCCAATTCCTTCAGCTGACTTCTCAACCCGGGATTGGCTTTTAGGACCACAGGGCAGCGAAGAGTGCAAAATAGGAATACAGAGAGGGAGAGGAAAAAAGAAAGGGAGGGAGAGAGAGAGGGAGGGAGGGAGGGAGGGAGGAAGGGAGGGAGGGAGGGATAGGGAGAGGGAGAGAGAACAGAGGAAAAGTTTATGCATCTCAGTGAAAGACACAGTGCTAGGTTCTACATGCTCAACCATGCGCATCGCAGGTGGAACATTCCAGAGACCCACTCCTCCAGATCCCAATTAGTAGGCAGAAGCAGAATAGTAGTGTGTGAGCCATTTCCTGTACACTCTGCCCTGCACACACTGTGAGCTAAGCTAAAAGGACACACCACGGAAGCGAAGTGAATCGGCTGCCAAGGACGTGCAAGTGACAATTCGGAAGGATGTTGGGAACATCACCTACAGTTCAGGTTTCTTGCTGGCTCTGGCTGATTCCAGAAACATATTTCGGAGCTGGGCAACGGAGACTCTTGTGTCCAGCATGCTAGGTTCTGCACCAGGCCCTTCTGCCTGGGAACTCCGCAGCTCCAGCTCCTGCTTTGGGGCTGGATCCTTCTGTCTGGGGGCCTGGAACTGAAGGGGACCCGTGTAATCCGACAGGGAGCGGGCCATGACCTTGCGTTTCTTTGAAAAGGCCTCTTTTGTGTGACTGGTTGATGTGGCATCTTGGGACGCAGGACCACTCTGAACATACAGAATCATTTCACTCCGGCCAATTCTCTGAGTAGGCTGATGTTGAGCTTGCCTCTCCCTCTCAGGTTCTACGGTGATGGAGTGAACCGTGGGCTCATCTTCATTACCAGAGGGGCCCTTGTGGCCTCTGGCCAGCTTGTCATCTTCCAAGGTCAAGAGTGATTTGGGGCTCTTCTCCAGATTATCCACTGGGAACACATCTGCTTCTGGTTCACAAATATGGAGCCCTGGAGCATCCCTCGACTCACCTTCTAGAATCTTCAAGGTGGTAGATTTTATGACATTTGGGGTGCCTGGCCCCACCCAGCTGCATTCAGATGCACTTTTTGGGGTGCCCACGGTCACCATCTTGATGGCATGAACAGGGTCAGCTGGCAGGACACAGCTCCGGCTGGGCTGCAGTGAGCTCACTACCCTGCTGGTGACCCTATCAAAGGCGGAGCTTTCTGACTGGATAGACAGGAAATGCGCAGGTCCTGGCTGCTGTCTCCTCTGAGGTAAGGACTCTGAGGTGAGTTCAGGGCTGCTGCGAGCACTCTCCTCTTTCACCATTTTTTCTCTAACTTTAACTCTTAAGAAAAAAATAGTATTTATGTTGCAATACGTCGTAGTCACCAAAGGGGAAGGAAGCATGCACAAACCAAGGGTGGCAGTGGAGCCAATGCAGAGAGAACATGTATGAAAAACATTTGGGCTTTGAACACAGACTCCTAGTGTTTGTCAGTTAGATGGAGTGAAATCTCCAAATTTGCATTCATATTCTAGCATGGCCCAAAAGTTCCATCCCCTGTTAAGCTGAGTGTTACATGCTATCTGAAGGGAGAATGGCTTTATCCTAACAAAATACCTAGCAACTCCAGGAAGCTTCATTCATACACATCACTGTAAGCGGTAGTGTGAAAGAGGCAATGCCTAGTTTGGGACTCTGTACGAGTCCAGACCTAGGTATGGGCTGTGGGGGTGACTGTAAGCTTCAAGGAAACGTACTCTCATAAGTAGACATGGCCACTTCCCTGTCCACGGGATATGCGGGCATTTGTGATTGCTAATGCTTCCTACTGAGTTTCACGGTTTAGTTATCACTGGAGGCCCTAAGCTCATACTCACAGGATCTGAATGCTAAGCTGACTATGTCATTTGATCCCCAGACATGGCCAGTTTGGATGTCATTACTCATGACAACAGGAATGTCAGCAAGAAGGCATTTGTCAAGAGAATCAGGAGCCCTCATCTCCCTCCCATAGATGTTGCACCCTAACTAAAAGCCAACTTAAGGAGGAAATTTTTTTTTTTGTTTCTGATTTTTAAAAATTTGAGATAAGAACTGAAAGAGATGTTCAAACGTGCAGACCGTTCCCCTCTCTGCAGAAGCCTGCGAACCAAGAACCCTGGCTGGGGACCTTACCTGCCCCTCCCGACTTCACAATGGGGCTGGAGAGGCGGCTCAGCAATGAAGAGCACTGGCTGCTCTTCCAGAGCTCCGGGGCTCAATTCCCAGGACCCACACAGCAGCTCACAGCTGTCTGTAACTCCAGGTCCAGGAGAGCTGACACCCTCACACAACATACATGCAGGCAAAAGTCCCAGTGTGCACTAAATAAACAAATACAACGGAAACAGTGGCTGTGTGTGTGTGGGGTGCTGTCTGGCACGTGTGAGGCCCTGTGTTTGGTTCCCACCTCAGGGAAAGAAGGGTCAGGCGGGTTTGGAAGAGCACATGCCTTCCTACTTAGCGAAGACGACACAGTCAACAACAAAAGCGCACTTGTGTTACTTTCTGAAATACCACTCGGGGGAGCGCAAAAGGGAAACCCATTTATCTGTGGTGGATTGCTGACCAGGTCCGACTTTCAGAAAGTTGGACACACAGTTTTGGGAGAGGAGAAGAGATTTCTTGGGAAAATGTAAAAGTTACATTACACATTATAGAACTGTCCCATTTGGGCCTAGTTGGCTCTATCAAATTCGTAAAACACCTTCTGATTTCCAACAGGCCTTCATGGGTAGGCTTCCCGAGGAAACACAAAGACACACAGAAAGATGTGAGTGTCTGGATAAAGCACTCGGGGCCGTTGCTTTTCTGAGATGAGGCGGCAGTGGAGGGCGCTGCTCTGAAGACTGAGCAGCAGTCAATCTCCCCTGTGGGATGTGTCCTCCTTATCTAAGGTCATCTCAAGAGAAAAAAGTCACTGTCAGAAACTCAATACATGGGACCTTTGTCCAGGCAGTAACTTGTTCATTCTTCATTTTTCTCTCTCTCCATCATGAAATGATTGGAGTATTTGTCTGCTATTAGGCCATATGCCCTAAATTTAACTATGAAAAATTAACTGCTGGTTTAGAAACAAGGAAACTAAAGCTGGAGCAGAAAAGGGATGTGGAAGGGTAGGATAGCCCTGGAGGAAGGGTTCCTCACTGCCCCCTGTTGGCCAGTTCCGGAGTGAGTGGGTGAGAAAGTGAGCAAGCAAGAAGTGTGTTAAGACTTTTAGTGGAAGTGAACCAGGAAGGCTAATGACTGTCAATGTGGACAGGCACTCTGGAGACATAGGATTAGGAAGCAGCTTATTTTTGAACACATGGTTGTCAGAGATGCTGCAAAGAGGGAGAAGGAGCATGAGTGTTAGTTAGGTGTGGCAGAGCAAGGAGAGGTGATGGGGGTAGGAGGATATCCACCATGCTTCAGCCACACACTTCCAACCTGGGATGTACCTGGAAGGCCAGTTGATAAGAGAAGGTGTATCCCCTTCGGCATCTTTCTGCAGAAACCACTCATGGGTGGCCTTCCCTGTACTACCACGCACAAGAAACAAAACTTTAGAACATTGCTATCAAAATACTGGTGCCTACACCCACATCATTTTACTATAATCAAAACCCAAAGGTTGCTGTTAGTTAAGATGCTCAAGCTGGCTTTGGAAAGACCTAATGTGCATGGAGCCTTTAGAGTTTGCGTCTACTTCTTGGAATTTCTTGGTCATTTGGCTCATCACAGGAAGCAAGAAGCAAAAATAAATACATCTAAGGCCACTGGAGAAAATGGGTTTGAGGATTAACATGAGTCGCTATGATCATAGTCAACTCACACTTATGGGAATTTGGAATTAAAATATAAGGCAACTTCTATAAGTTTCACTGAGGCACCCAGGTAAACAGACAAGTGGAAAAGGGGTTCATGCAAACAAATACACACCCAACAAAGGAAGTAAATAAAAAGAGATGTGGTGAGGGTGAACCTTTTGTCTCTCTTACACATTTCCCTTTTATCTTTTTTTTTTAACCAGTTACAAATATCACTTTATAACCTGGGTCAACAATCAGACAAACGTCTATTAAACTCCTATTTGGTATAAGGTACAGAATTTAGATTCTGAGAGGCAACAGGGTAAAAAGGGGCTTCAGTCTAATCATGAAAAGGTCTTGCATCCCGTTAAGATAACATCCAACTTACACACTTGTCCCTTAACTCAGTGAGACACGATGCAAGGCAGAACGTGCCAGCATCATTAAGGAAAGCCTGTAATGTAAGTAGCTGCAGGAAGGAGAACCATACCACATACTGGATCTTTTTGTGATGTACAAAGAAAACACAGGGAGCCTCCTCCAAATTCATGCAGTAGCCAAGGATGAACTTGAAAGGCTGTTACTCCTGCGTCAACCTCTCAACTCCCAGGATTACAGGCATGAAGCACCACTGCACAAACCAGTTTGTACTGTGCTGGGATTTGAACCTGGGCTTCATGCACTCTGGGTAAGCACTCTGTCAACTGAGCTACATTCTCCAGACTTAAATTTTATTTGGGGGGCTTAAGAGTGAGCCAAAACCTGTTGTACAAAGACCACTCCACTGGGAGAGGACTGTGGTATCCCTGGAACGAGGAAACAGTAACTCCAGACCAATGGATTGGCCTTTGGATGTGATTGGCAAGTGGAGATCGATTTCCTAGGAAGAAGAATGCCCCATCTGTAGTCAGCAAAGTCTCACACAGCTCTGATTACAGAAGGGTGGGATTCTGTCATATCATTCAGTTTAGCCAACTGCTGATAGTCACCTGTATGGGAGACTGCTGCTTTCCACACAAGTGTGGGTATAGCAATGTCCACAATCCTAGACACAATTTACTCTGGAAATCTCACTTGCACACCACGGCTGCTATACGCTACAGGTTGGCATTTTAGGAAACGTCTTCACATATAATGCAATACAACTGTCACTTTCTGGTAAGGACAGAATTAAATGAAAACCAAAAAAGGAATATTAGCAGCCAAAGTTAGTGGGATAAGGTTGGACAGCAGATATTTGGTATAGTAGAGAAGAAGACTTAATTTCCCTTCTAACAGAATGGATCTGTGAGGAACAGCAGAAAGCTCCTCTTTAGAGGATGGATATGAGACCTGCTTCCTAGGCTCTGCCCTGCTGTCCACAGGACATGGTGGAGAGCTGCTGACCAGAGCTGAGGGGACAAGCAGAACGGACGGCAGGCATGACACTTTGCTGCACACGTCGAGGCAGGGCAGTAACCAGGACCATGAGGAGCGGAGGCTCTGAAGGGTGTTTCAGAAGAGACAGTGAGGGAAGAAGTCCCGTGTCCAGCCTCTGCTCTACTGGCCTGGGTCAGCTTACTGGCCTTGTCCTTTCATCACCGTATAACAGTGCAGCTACAAGCTCACACTCAGGCTAATCTGACATATGTCATCGAGCTCCTGGTATGTGCAGAATATGAAGCTAGATTAGCTTTGAGAAGTAGCAACGATGAGTCAGACCATCCAACTCCGGCACTGTGCAGGTAAGACAGATATGGCTGTAACCCCAGCATTCCAGAGGCAAAGGTGGCTAGATCTCTGCAAGTTCTCAAGGCCAGCCTGGTCCACACAGGGAATGCTACTCTGTCTCAGAGCAGGAGTTATGGTTTGCTTGTCCCCAGGTAGCCAAGGCAAACTCTGTCCAGGACACAACCCACCAAAGGTAAGTCTTCTAAGATCCAGCTTCGGTGCTGTTCTCCACGACATTTCTACTCTCAGGTCTGAGTCACTAAGGACACAATCTGGGAGACACAGTTCTGGCGATGGACCAGGGTGCAGGGATGAAGAGGGGATGAGTCAGCTCTGAGAGCACGTGTCAGGCTGAACACATGGGGTGACAGGTGATGTTCAGGCACACAGCAGCTGGGACCCCAGGGCAGAGCGTCTGCATTTCCCCTCACAGAATAACACGTATGTGCTCCTGTCTGTCTGTCTATCTGTCTGTCGGTGTGTTTCCCAATAAGAAAGTAAGAGTTGCATAAAAGATTTAATAAGAGTTTGGGATCCGGGACTTTGATAGGAGTAGGAGTTCGTATTTCTCAAGGCTGAACAGTCCACAAGATGATTCATCACACTGATTAGTATTGTTGGTGGAAATGTACTGGCGCTTTTGTTCCCACACGCACTCTTGCCGGATCCACAGGCAACAGTTCACCTTGGGAGCAGCCTTCTTCAGATGATGTAAAACTTGAAGTTCCAAGGGTTTAGAAGCATCCAAAAAGTGGGGCTGGGCCTTACAGCCTCCGACTTCCTTAGACTATATTCTCTTCATTTTCTTCACAATACAATGTGCATTAATTCCCAAGCACATGTTAGGATAGGCTAAGGACCCTCTAGCATCCATCCCTCTATCCAACCTTTAATTTAAAAACCTTCCCAATCATTTTATGGCATACTAAAAACTTCCAAAACAAATATGCATTGCACCCAAACTGCTATTTCACTAGTAATATTTCAGATTCTTCCCTCATAAGGAAGTGACATTAAACAGTTGTCATAGGAAAATCTGAGACTAGAGTCTTCATTTTCTTGGACAGACCCATTTTTATTTCTAAGTCGGCATCTGTTGGGTTTCTTTGTTCTACATACAAATCATATGAAGAGGGCCAGCTGGCAAGGCAGCTTGGTGGGTAAAGTTATTTGCCACCAAGCTTGATGACCTGAGTTTGGTCCCCAAGACCCACGTGGTGGAAGGAGAGAAAAGACTCCTGCAAGTTGTCCTCTGACCTCCACAGAACAACACATCACACTGTGAATGCACACACTCATATAAAAAATAAAAATATGTACATGATTTCCTTTTATATAAATAGCTAAACAGAACACAATACTTCCACAATGAAATGCACACTTGTAGCCAAGACACGCCTCTTTAAGATACGTGGGATGGGTCTCTGTCAGTGTCAAGTACTTTAGCTCCAAGGCTGAACAAAGGTCTTCAAATACCTCCTTAGGAATTTTAAAATCTAGTTATCTAAGAGGTTGGTATATAAGTGTCTGAGTCTACATGACTAAGTACCTGACAATAGGCTTGGGTTATAAAGCATCAGCACCTAACATGGTTGCCTAAGGAGCATCACTGCCATGTAAGACGGAGTAGATGTTTGCCACCATGTCCCAGAGAAAGTGACAAAAAAATCAGACAAATATATGTTCACTTATGTGTGTGTACATATATATCTATGTATCACACACAATTGTTCCCCCAGAATAAATCTGCTTGACTCCAGGTTCCCAGCCCTTCATAGTTCACCCATAAAGCTGTTGCTTGTTTGAATTGAAGAGGGTATTTAGGAATCCACCCAGACATTCAGGCTGACTCTTTAAGCAAGGTATTTAAGTAAACAAAAAGTGTTTTTAACACGGAAAGCAATTTATTTTCAACTTAAATTTAGAAACGAACACACATTCTGTCCTGCCATCTGACTTCTGGGATTTGTTTTTGACTTATTTGATTTTCCCACACAGGAGCTGTTCTTGTGTTTGGCTGGTTCTTTTCTCAGTTGTGACTCCTCTTACTGCATATATATTTATATAGCAATGCCTTACTGGTCTTTCGGTGTTTATCAATCAATCAGACTCTGCATCATAAACAAAGACCCTTCACCTGCTATCATGGTTCTTCCTGCCTTGTGATTCTAGGCATAAGTCAACAAAACCACCACCACCCCCAAACTTAAGTCTTGGGTATAATCAAAAAGCAAACAAAACGATAAATTAGGTTGGGTCAGAAACACACCTGCATGGTTGCTTCTTTGTAAGTGGCCTCATGATACCTGCTTAGTTTGCTTGAAGGAGAATTTAAGGCAATGACAGAGGAGAGAGGAAAGATGAGGGAGTATGGCCGGATTCTAGCTCTGGTGGAACTTGCTTGGATACTATAGAAATTACAAAGGCTCTCTACAGTGAGTGGAGAACAGCAGAGACCTGTGACAGCCATGGCAAAACAAGCTCTCAGGGCTTACCTGGCTCGGGCCTCCGTGGGCAGGGCTGGGTCACCGGGGTGGCTCGGGGAGGCTGGCTGCTGCAGTGGTGAGCTGGACATCTGCTTTGGGGACCTTGGCACTTCAGGGAAGGAGGTGCCTCGCTCAGAAAAGAAGGCAGGGGAACCATCTTCTGCCAGCGAGGGCTCTTGGCCTCGCCGTTGGTTCTCCAAGTTGAGCAGCAGTTCCTGGTCAGACATGTTGCTCCCCAGAGGGGCACAGTCCTGGGATTCTACCAAGCTGGTCCTGGGCCCTAGCTCTGCCCTGGAGTGCAAGGAACTGGTACCCTTGCTTGGTTCTTCCTGTTTGTCACCTTTTCCTCGTCTCTCACCTGCATCTGTGTCCTTCCGAGACTTGGCATATCGAGACAAGTATTCGGAGTCAGCTTCGGGGTCCAGAGTCAGCCCATACTTTTCCGCCAGCTGTCGCCTCCTCTCTGCTTTGTACCGCGCAATCCTTTCTGCTTTGGACTCCAGACTGTGGACGTCCATGGAGCCCGAAATATGGATGCCCGAGGTTTCTGTGCAGTATTTAGATGGAGTTTGCTTTTCCAAGGAAGACCCAGGAGTGTCTTCCTCTTCATTAGATCGCCCTACAAGAAGACGACAGGATAAAACATAGGAGGCCAAGCACAGACAGCCATGTAACACACAGAGCCCTCCACACTGCATGGCTCACCGAGGGCCCAGCCTGAAGCTCCCCTCTCACCTAGGCTGGCTGATGGAAGGAGCCTGGGCTCTCACCACACTTCATCTGTCCCCCACACTCTCCCAGGCTCCTCCAGCCTCTCCTTTATTTCCCTTTATTTTATGTGTTCTTTCTGAGTTTAACATTTCTTATGAGGCCAAAGGGCAAGTTCAGATTCTTCTAGAAAACACAGCAGACATTGGAGCCTCTGTTGATTTAACAGGAGAGGGGTTGTGGCTCACAGTGACCAGAGTGGTCCCTGCACTTGAGATGTGATTTTTCCCAATTGCCCACCCCCCCCACACACACACATCAAAACATTGAATTATTTAGGAGAGCGTTTGAGACCTTTCAGTCACTTGCTAGGCTGTGAGATTAATTTCTACATCACTCTAAGTAATCTGACTCATTCATCATTTGGAGATTTCTTCATCTGTTTTTTTTAAGTCCACATGAATGAAACACATGCCTATGTGTTTTCAAGTTTCCAATGACTTCTTTTTAATTATAATAAGATTAACCAGAACTTACTCTGGAGGTTGGTATGAAATGGAAAAGGAATTCTTTTCCTCATCTTCTGGCTAGCTCAATTCCTAACATCTAAACAAAGAATTCTTTTGTGGTTGTTCATGCCGTTAGCACCAGCACATGGCCGAAACAGGAGGACAGCGAGTTTAAGCCAGCGTGGGTTACATAACTTATGTCTAAAATCAAGCCTATTTTCTTCACTATATTTGGTGGTTAAATTAAATGTTATACGGATGAAGACATTATGTATGCAAGGGTTTGTTTCTGGGTATCGATTCTGGGCGTAGATTCTTGACTTTTCATATCGTTCTCTATCAAAAGCCACCAGTACCAGCAAACTGTGGCATCATGCTATGAGACCAGGAGCCCTCTCTGAGGAGGAAACAGGAAACAATAGCTAGAAAAGCAACACCTCAGAGTCTGAGCATGGGACCGGGCTGCAAAGCTGTTCCCTCTGAGGTCAGGTGTGTTAACTAATGCCCAAACAGTGACTGGGCATGCACAAGGAAAGCCAAGTCATACTCAGCATATTAAAAATCAATACGCAATACATTTACACACCTGAAAACACACCCGAGAGTAGTAACTGCAACCACCCAAGCCCCAACTTCCCTTTTTGCTTTCCCTGCTCCAAGCATCTCCTTTGTAGGTGTCTGGATATTTAGCATAACCTACAATGCACATTGCTGGATCTTTCCTTTACAGACAGACGTTTACGAGAGTCATGAGGTATGGAGAAATGGGCATGCTTGTCTCTGATGGGTCCCTATCTAGAGGGGCCTGATGGCCAGAATACTTAAGAAACCACACACACAATATACTGCTGTTGGCTGTGGTGGTTAATGTGCACCATCAGCTTGATGAGATTTGGAGTCGTTTTTACAGAGGTTTAGCTAGGAGCCTGATGTGTGTGGTACTAAAAAGGTGAGAAGGAGAAGGCAGGGGACGGGGAGAGCAGCAAAAGCATCCATCCAGATTCCTGAATGTCAGTGTATGTCAGCTGCTTCTCGCTCCCCTGCCATGCCTTCCATCATGACTGTCTGTGTCCCTGCGAACTGTGAGCCAAGACAATCTTCCCTTACTCTAGCTCCTTGGGCTGTCATTTTTATCCTGGTGTCGGGAATCTCATCCTCCTGCCCCACCAGATCAGGCAGGTAAAGGTACGGCGTGACAAGCACCCTCCTAACACGGCCGTGCTCACCAGTGTGAGGGCTGCTAACATGGCCACGCACTCACCAGTGTGTGGACTGGCAGGGTCCGTGGCGCGCATGTATCTGGGTGTGTCTTCCTCCAGCAGGCGATGAGTCACCAGCCCTGTGCAGCTCTGCAACAGGATGGGCTGGGGGTCATTTTCTATTCCTTCTAAGCGCCTGGCAATTCTTTCTTTCCTGCACAATAGACCAGAGAAAAGACACAGTGAGTGTGGAAAATGAGGCTAAGAGCACATTAGACACTGTGGGATGAAGTGGCGTGACACAAACATGTTACCTTTTCATCTCTAAAAAGTCTTTTCTCTTTGGTTCGAAGATTTTTCTTAATTCTGCAACTACAACAGAGCAGAAAAGAACAAGAACAGGGTGGTGTTTAGTGGCTCTGTTCTTGCTTCATTCATTCACACCAGAGAAGACTCGAGGATCTGTTCTCAGCTCCCACATAACGCTGTCAGCTTGGACTTTGTTTTCAGGTAAGAAGAGAGACACTAAACACGTAAGTGTGTGCACACAAGTCCCTGCCCCCAGACACACATGCCATATTTTGGGCTAAGAAGTAAACTCATACAGGCTAAGACAGTATTGCTCAGAATCACAGGAAGCTTAACCTACATGCCTCTGTAGTAAAGCTGTTTGTAAAACTGTTTTGCTTGTCAGGAATCCTAGTATCTATTTTAAATTTTGTTATGTTTACTCATGTATCTGTGGCTTTTATTTTGAAAAACATTTGCAAAGTACATGCCATGAGCTGCCATAAGGTCACCTGCAAGCTCCCAGCATCACACACAGCCACTCCTACTTCATCCTGTCATTTAATCTGGAAGCATCTGTCGGTACATGACTATGTTTCCTTTAACCACAGTGAAATCAGGTCCCAAGACTCTGCTAGAGCTTAGCTGGAAGGAAGTGGTAACATCTGCTTCCACCCTCTAATCTAGGAGGATGGTGTGACTCTTCTAGGGTTCTGGAGAACCAGGAAAACGCTCTGGTGTGAGGACATTGACTGCAGGGCAGATGAGATGACAAGCAACTGCTTCTTTGGAGAAATAGCCGAAGTCGGCAGGTAAAGGCGCTTAATCTGTCTCCATCTTCACTATATCAATTCTTTTTTTTTTTAATTTTTTTTATTAAGAAAAGGAAAAGAAATAAAAGTTTCCGCCTCCTCCCAGCCTTCCATTTCCCTCTCCCTCCTCCC